AGATTCTGAAAACAAGCGCGAGAAATAAACAGTGTAGTCGAAGGGTACGGCCAGATTGCACTCCTGATTCAGATTCAGACTCAGAAAACAAAGCGCGAGAAAAAGCAGGCAACCTGCTTAGACTACACTGTTTATTTCTCGCGCTTGTTTTCAGAATCTGAATCTGAATCTGAGTGCACTCTGGCCGCACCCATAGGTCGTAGTTTATAGTTCGGAAGTTGATAGTTTAGGTTAGTAGAAATTGTTAGCAATCGTAATTGTTTAAAATGAAAATTATGAAAAAATAAGATAAAATGATGCCTTTTTGTATGACCTAACTATGTGCAAATTGATTTAAGCTCGGACTATTGTGTATTGTAAATAAATGATGAATAAAGAGATGCGGGGGCGTGAGGTAAAGGATCGTTGGTCAGCCCATCGCGCAGATATAAAATCCGGAGAGAAATCAAGCCCGGCTAGGGTAACCATTTAGGAATTTCAAAAATCCTGACATTTCGAAAAAAATCCGTCACAAAATTGTACCATTACTCACTTAGTTACAATTGTATGGTATTTAAATCAATATGTCCTTTTATTATTCATATTCAATGTAATTTAAAAAGACTGGACAATTTAAATTTCCGGACTATAGTCTAACTAAAATATCTATATATATAAAACTCAAAGGTGACTGACTGACTGACATAGTGATCTATCAACGCACAGCCCAGACCACTGGACGGATCGAGTTGAAATTTGGCATGCAGGTAGATGTTATGACGTAGGCATTCGCTAAGAAAGGATTTTGATCAATTCTACCCCCAAGGGGATAAAATAGGGAATGAAAGTTTGTATGAAACTATTTCAATTTTAAACGATCGGGCTGAGACTTTGCATGAAGGTATAAGAAGAATCATAGATGAATGTCATTGTGTATAAAATGAGAACAAAAACTGTAGTCTACACTTCAGCTCTACACCGAAGCGAAGCGAGGGCGGGCCGCTAGTAATAAGACTATATAACTAACAGTCCGGACATCCGGACGAATGGTAACCCTAAGCCCAGCACATCATTCAGAACCGGCGCTCTCAGAGATAACTAGAAAGATTAAGGAAGCGGTTCTTTCTGGAACAACAAGGCTCCCCAGCGGTGATCCATTATCGGCACCTACCGCATTTATCGACGGATTCTTTGTAGTTTTATTTTGATACAGTCCACGAGCATCGACATCCTCTCGACCCGACCAAGCAGTACGGGGTTAACTTCTCGCTCCTGCGAAAGCGCGGCGTGCCGCACAGGTAAACCCAGTGCGGATTGGAGGGTGATAACGGACCCAACGCGAATTGGTGTTTTTTTTTCTATCAACAAATCTTCAGGTTAAGTTTATGATTTTCAGTGCATTGGAGCTAAAGAAGTTTCACTTCAGTCTTATGGCTTATGAACACTCGTTTTTAGTTTTTGGTTTTGCTCATTCTGGTTATTAGGCTAAGGTTTTTCACAATTAAAATAATTTTGTATCTATTTTGGTATTAAAAAGAACTAATACAAAGCAATATACATAAAATTATATCTCAAATATGTCAAACAATAAAATTATTAATTGAAATGAATTTTCTAATTCTAATAAAATAAAATAATAAAACTAAAAGTGAGGCTGTATGGGCATTGTTCCCTTGCCTTCCTAGAAGAGGGAGAACTTAAAAAAAAACACTGATGTTTTGTTTTAGAGGTGTAAAAGTAACGAAAAAAGCGTATCCCTATGTATTCGTTACTTTAACAATTAGTACTCGTTCCTATAGTATCGTTACGTTACTCGTTACTTCTCATAAAAAATCGGTTTTACTATTTTGAAATTTTTAACCGTGAGCTTATGTTATATCACAATAACATCGCAATCCATTATTCATCAATTAAAATGATAAAGCAACAATTAAGTGTCGAAAATTATTGTATTGATAATGGTGTCAATTCTGACACGATTCTCTAAACCTAAACTTAAATTTGACAACAGTGTATCCTTGTCATTCTCTATACGGAATGAAAATTAGAGATTGATGTTAAATTTAGTTTTAAGTTTAGAGAATCCCGCCAGAATCGATACCAATAATACATAAATAGCATTCTAACGATAAATCAACATAAAAATAGTTTTGCTTAGAATGAAATTAAACATAACGAAAGAAAGAACTACAACAAAAATTTTTTGTTCTCAAAATCAAATTATAAAAAAAATAAAAATATTTTAAACGAAATCTATCAAGTTGGCTTTTTCGATAAGCTTCTGTGAGGTAGTCAAGACGACAATAAAGTTCTTGGCTCAGCTTTCCATTAGTTGTGGTTGAGTAGCGAGTTAAGATTTTTGTCACGGAAAGTATTAATTATTAGGAACACACACACGAAATCTTTTTATTCGAAAATGAATAGAAATCGAGAAAAAAAATATTGAAAATTAATATTTTTGTAGGTTAAAGTCAATTTTGACAGCCATTTTGATCAGTGCTGCCATTTTTTCATGCAGAAATAACATGTTTCTCGTTGTCTATGGTAAAAAATATGTTGATTATGTTGGTACTATTGTCAAAATGACATATGCCCCGCCGTTTTGTGTTTGTTATGAGAAAGGTCAGTCAGTCTGTGTACGTCGGTAAAAAGTATATTTACTATTATTTACTTGGTAAATTCAATTCAATTCATTTATTTCAGCCATTTAGCCATATAAACCACATAAAAAACAAGAATAATAATTATAAAAGCATACAAATTACAATCAAAAATACAAAATTAGAAATGTCAATAACAAAATAATTCAAATAAATACAAAATTACAATGTCAATAAAAATAATTACAAAATTAACATTAAAAATTCATAATAATTACATTATTAAGTTATTGCATTTCATTACATTTTACAAGTACAGTTGTCCAGTGATTACTTATAGGACACTCGTACCTGCCCCCTACAACCTTCAAGATGTTATTGTGGCTGTCGTAAACTCTCTTCATGAGAGAGGTAACTTTTTTGCGCATTATTGCGTAGAAATCATTTGTTCGCGCTTCGGCAAACATACCTGACGCGCTGCAGCGCCACGGCAGCCCCAATAACATCCTGAAAGCATTATTATACTGTACACGTAGTGCGTTGTATGTCTTCTGCTTATAACTCACCCATAGGCTGCCAGTGTAAAAAGATTGGCAGAAAGCCTTAAAAAGGGTTAACTTAACTGGCTCTGAAGACCGTGCAAACCTACGGGCGATCATGTTGCTTCTGACCGCCAACGCCCTACGCTCTCGCTCAATATCTTGGTCATCCTTCAGGTCTTCTGTTAAAATATGGCCCAGGTATCTGTACTGCTGAACCCTCAGCAACTCCTCCCCGCATAGCCTGACAGGAGGCACATTTTGTGGAGAATTGTTACCCGCGGTGAAAAGCATTATCTCACTTTTTGTAGTGTTATATTTTAGCCCGTGAACTTTCGCATAGATCTCACACACGTGCAACAAACTCTGGAGCGCACTGATCGACGGGCTCAGCAACACCATATCGTCCGCGTAACTGATGTTGCACCCACAGAGTGGGTGCAACATCAGTTACGCGGCCACCGGCACCCACAGAGTGGGTGCCGGTGGCGGCGACAACGCGCTTGATTGTTGTTCACTCGTAATATTACCGGTTTGACGATCGCCTATATTTACACCGTCGTCAGCTGATCGAACCGACCGTTCACGCATCTGTGGCGGTGATTGAGGGTATGTCGATAATCCGTCTTTTTCTTATTCCGTCTTCAATTTTTGGATTACTGCTTCCTGAATGAGGTTCTTCGATGTTAATAATGCCAATGGGTCCACTGTCTACATGACATGAGCCTAAATAAGCCCCTCTCCTGTAATTGACATTTTTATGCTGTTCGTCCGGTTCTGCACATGGGTCTGTCGGCTCTGTACAAGTACCTGGAGACTTCACATGCCCTTTGGAACTCAGGGCTTCAAGGAGCTCATCTTTCGTCACACACTCAGCTTTTAGCTTCGACAATTCTTCTCGAAACACCAGCAAATCCTTTAATAGTCTGGTAACATCAATATGATCAAATGTGATCGGTGGTAATTGGTGTAGATCACGGGCCACAAAAACAGGTATTTTCTCCGGATCCGTCTCTTTAAAAACTGTGATTATATCCTGGAGGTCCTGTTCAGCCTTGCCGTCATTCCTTCGCGATATTTTGCGTTTATCAGTATGCACTGATTCGAATAATAACGACTTTGCATCCTCTATCTCCCGCGTTGAAAAACTAGTTCGACACAAACGAATTAAACTTTCATTATCCATAACTTGTATTTTAGAATCAATAAACGTTAATATCTCGCTTATAACAATGTTACAAGAATTACACTTTATTAGATTCGCCATTATATTCGAATATTATATACGAATAAGAAATAGTATGGGCTCCACACTTAGAAAAAAAGGTAAATGTGGCTTTACAACAATCTTTAATTCGGAACCGACTTGGTCAACCCCGACACGCCGTGGTCTTGGTCTGCCCTACCCTTAGAGTGTTTGTTAGAGCCCGGAGGCGCGTAGGGAGAGCAGCTCCCGCCTGCTGTGACAAAGCCGCAAGCATCGTGCGACCCGTCGTAGCGCCTGAGGCTACGACGAACGAACGACGAACAAGCCGAAGGTGTGAAGGAGAGTGATGTTTGTGACTTTGTCACGCAAAGGCGGCGTGGCTACTATTCCCGCAGCGCCGGAGATAAGGCAGAACTACTGGTTCTTACTTCCCTAGTCCTTGCATCCTAAAAAAATTATGAATTTTTAGGTTAGGTTAATTAAAAAAAACATGCAATTCCGACTAAAATCTTTAGTAGGGGGGGGGAGTCGGGGAAACCCCCTCCTCCCCCCACATCAAAACTACCCCGAAATTCCACCACAACTAATGGAATTTAGTACCGTAACACAAAATAACACCAATTTTATTTCACAATAGCCACTATGAACGAATTTAAGAATAATTAAAATAAGACGCCAACCGCCCTCGATGAAATCCGGCCAAAAATGTTTTTAAATTCTCCGAATATGCTCGCGCATGCTTAAAACATACGATCAGCAAATGTTTCTATACACACATCAACTGTACTTGCGTAAACTGAAACATATAGATAGTCATACTACGAAAAATGCGAATAACGAAATTTATTTGTGTGTAACGTTTCGTTACTCGGTACTAGATGGCGCACCCGTTACTCAGTACCGAATACATACGGTTTGCTACAGCTCTATTTTGTTTACTTTTTTGAAGTTATTTTTTATTAGAAAATAATGACATACATAGCCAGGATAATGTTTTGTTTACAAGCGAAGCGTTAGTTTTTTAACCTAAATTTTAATAAAATTCTTCAAATATGCCGAAAACGAATGCAGAATATTGTCGCGATTATCGAGAAAGAAAAGGGGGAAAAAAAATAAAAAAGACAGCAAAAAGTTCAACGGAACGTGTCCGTGAATTTCGTGCTCGCCAAAAAGCGTTAATGAATGTGAAAAATGATAGTTCTCTAACGCATAATGATGATTTTACTGATCAAAATAGTGAAAGTGATCATAGTAAGCACTCAAATATTTTCTAATCAACTTTGTCTTGCCTTACCTGACAAATCTTTATACATAAAAATCAATTGCTGTTCGTTAGTCTCGCTAAAACTCGAGAACGGCTGAACGGATTTATCTTGGTCTTGAAATGTACGTGGAGGTCTAGGGAAGTTTTAAAAGGTGAGAAATATTGGAATAATTGCGAGGAAGATAGTAAAAATACAATTTCATATGTCCATATAAATTAAATTATTGTAAGCAGTACGAAGTATGCTGGGTCAGCTAGTAAAAAATATTTCTAAATTATGTACACCTGTATGTCAAATTCTACTCATGTGAAGCTACTTCTTGTTTGGGAATATGAATATGAGGACTCATCAAAGTTTTCAATTTTACTAACAATAAAATTAACCTAAAAAATTAAAATAGTATGTTATATGTACACTGTTTTCAAGGCGTGTTCTTCGTTGTACTTTAAGATCTTCATATACTGCCAATACAATATCGACAGCATAGATCATGTTCTTTGGCAGCAAAATGCAGTCGAGCCACGGAACTTGTCAAAAATTTTATAATTAAGGTCACCTTGCATCAATTTTGCTTCATCTTGATTTAACTTAAAACAGTTTACAGCCCATACAAGAATGTGAAATTGACAATGTTTGACAATTTTTTGTCCCGTCTGCTGCCTGGTCTGCGTGGAATTTTTTCTAGTATTAGTACTATATTTTCTTTAGATTTAAACATCAAGCAGTTACATGCGTAAAAAATAAAAATTATATTTTATGGGCTAAATCCTGGTCTAGTTAAATTGAGATTTAGCAATTATGCTGCAAGATGGTCTAAATGATTAGTATTATTTATAGTCTATTTTTTAACCTACAGATGATAAATCGAAGCAACTGCTATTGTGTCGTGGCTGTTTCGCCACCGGCGTCAAGCTGTTTGATCTACAAAAAATGAATTTGAAGGATACATTCGAAGAATTTGTCGGAAAAACGGTGTGTGTTTCTACCTTGTTAACATTTTTAATAGTTAAACAAAATTTCATCCCAATATCAGACTGGAATAAAACCAGTCTCGGTCAATCCAATTTTTATTTTTTTCATTTTATCTATAATGGGAAACAAACAATGAAATATCACTTATATCTAGATCTAAATAACAAAACATACACCAGTAAACTTTCCACTGTAACATACAAAGGAGTCCAGTTTACATTTTTACCCATAAAAAAATAAAACTAGTTTTTTACGTGTTAATGCACGAAACTTTATTTATTTATTGACGAAGCTCGACAAAATTAAATAAAAATTTGATTCCGATGACGTAGCCTGTAAAGGCTACGAAACGTCAATAAATAAATAAAGTTTCATGCATTAACCCGTAAAAAACTAGTTTTATTTAATGAGTGATGTGCGTGAAAACCTAAGAAACAAATACCAAAAAAAAAAGTTAAGAGTACTATGAACAAATATGATTTTGAAGTATCTATTATATTGTGTATATATTTTTTCCTCTGATTGGTAGAGCAGTTAAATATATCAATTGATGTGAAGCTATTGTTATAGTCGGTACAAGATATCAGCACAAAAGTATTTACAGTATAACAATACAGTAGAACCTGTTTAATACGAATAAAAAAAATGTAAAAAATGCATTCCGAAGACCAGAGTCGCGAACGCGATATTACTAGCGAACTAATTGACCTACATATATAGAGATCTCCCATGCTTATGGGACACTACGTCGGAATCGTATAAAGATGCTCGTAAAAAAATATGCGTGGGAGATATTACTTGAAAAGTATAAGGAGTTGGACATAAGTGTGAATGGCTGAGAATCATTCGCTCTTTTAACCAACGCCTCATCCACTTTCTCATTTTGTGTTGTTTTTCGTCGTCTATTGCACACAAAACTCCTAAGGCAACGCCCACTCTTTCAAAATTTAGACTTTGGAGCCATTTCTACAACACGATTACTAATACAGTCCGCGCATGATACAAATGCATACGTGTTTTCACGCCAGAAGACGGCTCGCGATTGCGTGTTGGCGCGTGGATTACTTCCGTCTAGAATAGGCTTTACTCGACTTTCGCGGTAGTATAATGGTCAGTGCATCCGCCCGGATAGCGGAGAGTGCGGGTTTGAGTCCCGTCTGCTGCCTGGTCCGAGTAAATTAATTTCTAGTAAAAAAACCTTTATGATGGTATATTGTTATTTGTTATTAGAACACCGACTTGGCGCTCCAATTGTGTTCTTGTTGCGCGGCGTTGCTTCTCAAGTTTACGAAGTTCAGGGAGCGATGTCGCCGCACAGAAACCCTTGTGCAGAGGTTGCAAAAAACTAAGCTGGTGAGTTTTAAAAGAAATTTTAGGACAAAAACACCAGATATTGGCTATATCCTAAGGGAGCCATCACTAAATCGTAGTGTTTTCATTGTTAGTTACAAAGTGGCTCTCCACGATAGCTTGAAATTATGTGTTCTTATACAAAGAAATTTATAAATAATGAATAAATTTCACCTTTGAAATTACGTATGGGCAAATAGATCAATCATCCCACAACAAACCGTCGACTGACATAATTATGTCAGTGACATATGTCAACTTGGCGAAATATGGGCCTGGTCTGTCATTAGTTATCTTCCCAAGTGAAAATGCTCTGTTTCTAGTAATGTGTATTTTTTTCCATCTATTTCAGTTTAACAAGCACACCGTGAACTCCATAGACAGGACATTCTACAAACTAAACTTGGACTTTAAGATATCTGAACTCACGTTTATCGAAACCGATATTGTATCGGAAAACAAAGAAGATACAAAATCAACAAAACAAGAAGATATTGAACTCAGCAAGGATCTAGTAGAAATTAAAAGAGAAATTGTAACCAATGAAGATTCTTTTAAAGCCGATTTAGATATAAGTGATCTTCACCATTCCATAGATTTAAAGGAAGAACACCTTTATACCGAAGACTCGTTAGATGTTAGAGAAAATATTGGATTGGGAAACGACAAAGTTGAAATCAAAGAAGAGAACGCGACCAACGCTTCCGAATTGAAAAATATGAAAACGCTAGTGAATTCTTCAACAGAAAATATAGTTATTAGTTATATTAATGGCTCCGTCGATAATAAACAAGAATACGATACTGAAATGCGTTGTAATGAAAAATCCGTACGTAACATAGAAAATGATGAAGATAATCGTATGGAGCAGTTATTGAAATGCTTACCGAAAAATAGAGACAGTAACGGCGCCGCATGTAAGGGCGCACCCTGCTCTCTTAAAGTATATTGGTTAAACATTGATTAAATTATTCAGTAATCTAGAATTGAATAAATATATCCACCTTACTGCCGTTCTCGAAGTTGTTCAAAAATATGTGTACCTGGAGCAGACATTGCAGTTAGGTAGAAATGACTTTGAGGACGAGGTGAATAGAAGAATTCAGCTAGGTTGGGCAGCGTTTGGGAAGCTACGTCAAGTCCTGACATCGTCGATCCCACAGTGCCTAAAGACGAAAGTTTCAATCAGTGCGTCCTATCTGTCATGACATACGGAGACACGTGGACACTGACAGTACGGCTGGTCCTCAAGTTCAAAGTCGCTCAGCGCGCTATGGAAACGGCTATGCTCGGTGTTTCTCTGAAGGATCGCATCAGAAATGAGGTAATCCGACAGAGAACCAGAGTTAACGACATAGCCCACCGGATTAAAAAGTTGAAGTGGCAGTGGGCTGGCCAAATTTGCCGAAGAACCGATAACCGTTGGGGTAGACGAGTTCTGGAGTGGAGACCGAATCTAGGCAAACGTAGTTTAGGACGTCCTCAGGCACGATGGAGTGACGATTTGCGCAAGGTGGCCGGCAGGAGCTGGATGCGAGTAGCCCAAGATCGATCTGAGTGGCGTGCAATTGGAGAGGTCTATACCCAGCAGTGGACTAGGATAGACTGTTGATGATCTACCTCATTGAGCGAGCCTACTTTCTCGTGATTTCCTTAAATTTAGCGTACAAAATCGTTATGTTCGCATGTTGGTAACACAAGAACGGATGGTCCATACCATAGACATAGTATCATAAGGATGGAGTCAGAAATTTGACATCCTGAATGACGGATGGATTTTGTGACATGATGATTACTAATGAATCAAGACTCAAAAAGGATGCATTACCACAACCATTTTTTAGGAAATTGAATATCAATAACTTTTAATTGTTTGTATTAGTTCTATTCCATTGTTATAATACCATGTTTCTAAATTACACCTATTGTTAAAGTTATTAAATAATATCAAAATAATTAGTTTTTTTAAATAGCGCGTCAAATGACCCAAATGACTTCAAAGCATAGACTCAAAAGAGAATTTGTTTTTTTCTATTTTTTTTTTTTAGTTAATACTCAAACCAATTAGCCTAGCCCCAAGCTAAGCACGCACTATAAGGCTTGTGTTATGGGATACTAGGGTAACGGATAGAATACATATACTGTACATATATAAGTATATCTATATGGAAATACATATTAAACATCCATGACTGGAGTACAAATTGCTCGTATTCATCACACTAACATCTGCCCCCACCGGGACTCGATCCCAGGACCTCTTGAGACGGCGACACCAAGAAACCCTGCGTACAAACCACTCGGCCCAGGGAGGTCGTCAATAAGAAATATAAATATTTTATTATATTGCTAGCAATCAGACCCGCCTTTCCCATTGGGCACTTTGGGCAAGTGCCCAGGGCCCCGCGATCGATAGGGGGCCCCCACAGATCAAATACAAAGTCCCTAGTTCCTGTTAAATCACTAAACGGAAGTCATAGGGGCCCCATTATCCTAATGCATATGCCCTGGGCATCCAGGGCCTCCAATAGGTCAAAAACGGCACTGCTAGCAATAAACTTTGATTTTTTTAAACACTGGACTTTTAGATCAAATAAAAAGGGCCTTTTGATTTAATCTAACATTAAACTGTAAGATGCAACGAGGCACGGCAACAGTATGATTTGCAATATAAGCTTTTTAGCAATAATGAAGGTAGATGAAAGTGAGTTTAAAGTAATACTTTGAATGCATTATCATTATCAGCCTATTAATGCCCTCACTGCAGGGGCACAGGCAGTGCCGTCTTTGACCTGTTGGAGACCTTGGGCATATTAGGATAATGGGGCCCCTATGACTTCCGTTTAGTGATTAAACAGGAACTAGGGACTTTGTATTTGATCTGAGGGGCCCTGGGCACTTGCCCAAAGTGCCCACTGGGAAAGACGGGTTAGGCACGGGCCTTCCTTGAGGAGGGCGGAGGGAGATTGGGCCATGACTTACAATGCGGGCCCAGTGCGGTTTGGTGGGTGCTAACAACTTCGGATATAAGTTGAACCAACAACTTAAAATGCCTTTAGAAGTACGGAGGAGCGATAGATAAATTAATTCTTTATTACTTCTTCCGTTGGATAGAGGATTTGGTCATAGCCAAATAGCGGCTTCGGTTTGAAATCCTCATCCTCCAAATCGAGATCCTCGCGTTCGAATTAATATTTGATAATCAAGAGACAATCAACCCCAACCCTACTATATATAGTATCCTACTATATTTCTGAAAAAAGAAATAGTAGGCGAAACTACTATATTTTGCGTACAGAGGATATTTAACAGCTTTAAAAATTTTAATTACCTAGTAAGGCGCAGAATATCAAGAAATATTCATTTAAAATTAAAATAAATATTTAAACCACATACCTACCATATTTTTTTGCTATCTACTTTAGATTAAGTTGTTGCAGACAGTGTTACCAGAAAGACATTGCGCCTCAAATTACCAAATTGCGACTTAGCAAAGCAAAGATGATAGATAGTGTCGATTCGATTTGCAGTTTAAACTGAATACCTTTAACGACTGACTGACTTGCTTAAAAGCGCCTACTGACTTGCCTGCCGCAGGGACAATCTAGGGTGTAAGAGTGGGGATGACCCTAAATTGCCTCCTGAATTGTGATGTGTGTAGGGAAATTGGGACAATTTTCTAAATCGGGCCTGCGGCAGGGCGACAGGAGCGCGCGACCACCCTTGCTCACTAGATTGTCCCAACCGCCCTGCACGTTGCCGCGTGTGTAGCGCGATTGGGCCAATTTCTCAATCAGTCGGTTAGTAGCTGTCACACGCAGCGCACGTATTTCGATCAAAATGGCGGCAGATCATAATGAGCATGAAGTTTAGACACGAGTGATCGAAGTATATAAATACCGGCCCCACATGTGGGATTAAAAAAAACAAACATTATTTATATTTATTTTTTTAATTAATTTTCATTTTTTAAGTATGTGATTGCTTGATGTTTAAATCTAAAGAAAATATTACTAGAAAAATAGAAATATTTTTTTTATTAATATTTTCTTTAGATTCAAACATTGAGCAGTTACATGATTAAAAAATTCAAATTATGACTTTAATTGCTATTTCTTCTTTTAAATGTTTAATTATTGTAATAGTATTTATTCTTTTGACATTGTGGGTTACATATAATGCGAAGAGATGGCGCTGCCTTGCAGCTTAAGAAAGGCTAGAAAGAATTCGATACGGCTGTCAGGGTCGCGGTAGCATAATTGATCAGTACATTCGCCCGGATAGCGAAGGGTGTGGGTTTGAGTCCCGTCTGCTGCCAGGTCCGCGTGGATTTTTTTCTAATCATAAACATTACTTATTTACTATACATTTCTTTCTGTTGCCAATTCTTCACCCAGTATTGACACCACACCCACACCCTGAATAGCAGGCATGTGTGTAGAGACAAGCCGATATTGGGCCGACCGCCCGTGTACCCTAGATTGTCCCTGCGGCAGGCAAGTCAGTAGCGCGTTTAACTGACCGAGCGTCTCAGCGAGACGGAATGGACCGAAAAATACTTTTTTAGGTGGGCTTTGGACTTAAGGGTCCGAATCGGGCTCACAGATTGAACACAGTTCAGTGGGCCCGAATCAGGCATGATTCTCTAAGCCTAATAAAATTAAATTTGACAACAGTCTATCCTTGTCATGCTCTATTAGTCCAGTCATTATATACATTTGGAAATGCAAATGAACCGAGAAAGCCAAATTTTGGATATTACGTGGGGGGTGGCTAGAAAAGTTTAAGTTCAAATTGTCGACCAAAAAAACCTTGTGGGTTTTCCGCCATCTTGAAAAAAGGGTTAAACTCAGTTTTTTTATCATAACTCGGTTCCCCGTCGAGATACGAAAATTTTTATGGAATACTTTTTTGTTGCTCTTTGTACGATCTACAATTAAGGTCCTATACATTTTTCGCATATCGACCATCGTTATCGAGATATCGATAAAAAAAGCCACAAATTTTGGGAGAAATTTTTTTTTTTCGCTATTTCCTTCTTTCTCGCGAAAAATATCGAAAAATGTTTCGAATAAAACTTGTAGAGCCTGTTCAGACCTACAAATTCGTTTTTTAATTTTTCATTTTCGAGAAAAATTACGACCTTCAGCGCGCCGCAAAGTGAGTAAGACTGTGCCCGGTTTCGATTTAGCCGCTCGCACGGTTGTATCCACAACGTAAAAATTGATGAATTATTGGTTAAGGGATTTATTGCTATACAAAATAAATGAATAATCCAGCCAAATTATAAATCAAACACATGAAATTTATTAATCAAAAAGTGTTTATGCAGCAAAAATAATAATCTTACACGTGGTCATTTTTGTCACACGTTTTTCTTCGTTTTGATGGTCCTGGCTGCTGTTGAAGTTCCTCCTCGGTACACTCTTCGAGTCGGGTAAATTCTTCAATCGCAGGAAATGATGCTGTGACGGTCGAAAAATCGTAATCTTCATCATCGTGATCGTCATTGAGTAATATCTCGACTTTGGCGACATTGTCGCATGTCTGTCCACTACAGAATTACGAACGACGAACGAATTTTCGAAATGAAATAGAAACAGAGTAAGGAACGTGCGATATTTCGATCGAAATTTCGTTTTTCGTTGAAATAGAGTAGGCCTCCTGACCCATGCCGACACTCCAACCGTCGCACGTCCGCCATGGCGCGACGCACATTCCGGCGTCGGGCGCATTGGCGCCGACTTTGCGGCGCGCTGGAGGTCGTAATTTTTCTCGAAAATGAAAAATTAAAAAACGAATTTGTAGGTCTGAACAGGCTCTACAAGTTTTATTCGAAACATTTTTCGGTATTTTTCGTGAGAAAGAAGCAAATAGCGAAAAAAAAAATTTCTCCCAAAATTTGTGGCTTTTTTTATCAATATCTCGACAACGATGGTCGATACGTGAAAAATGTATAGGACCTTAATTGTAGATCGTACAAAAAGTAACAAAAAAGTATTCTATAAAAATTTTCGTATTTCGACGGGGAACCGAGTTATGATAAAAAAACTGAGTTTAACCCTTTTTTTCAAGATGGCGGAAAACCCACAAGGTTTTTTTGGTCGACAATTTGAACTTAAGCTTTTCTAGCCACCCCCCACGTAATATCCAAAATTTGGCTTTCTCGGTTCATTTGCATTTCTAACCCGATTTTTCCGACGTAATGACTGGACTATATACAGAATGAGAAAAAAAGACTGTTGATTGACTGTTTAAAAGTATGGGAAGTGGTTTTATTTTTATATAAAAATGTAATTATAAAACCCCCGTTTCCCCCAAACCCAAGTTTCTTCCCTCCAATTATCCCCACATCGCTTTATAAACCCCCCGAATTTAGGGGGAATCCCCCCCAATCTGGCATCAGTGGTTACAGCTTCGAAAATACTATATTTGATAGACAACAAGTTGGTAACCCTAGCTAGCGTACACCATGAAAACAGTTTTTTCCCCCTTTTTTGTGGCAAGTATGTTCAGCTAATGTCCAGTAAAAGAAAACAGCTTTTATTTCCTATACCAAAGAGGAAGTTTTTTTTTATTGCACAATTTACGCTTTATTTATTAGCATAAGTCACAGCATCTAACTCGATGTGGGGTACGCTAGCGTGCCGGACACTGTGTTAGCTCATATTTCCTAAAAGTGATTGCTGGTGTCGATTCTGGCATGATTCTCTAAAGCTAAACTTAAATTTGACAACAGCGTATCCTTGTCATTCTTTATGCAAAATAAAAAGGACAGACTGATCTCATATTTAGTTTTCAGTTTAGAGAATCCTGCCAGAATCGACACCATTGTCTTCTTTATTTTATATAATAGATTAATCTGCGTTACCAAGTAAAACCGACGCCGTCAACAATAAATGGAATTATAACTCAAACTCCGAGTTAAAATTCCATGCAGTAATAGTTGTGTGTAAACGATGGACGAAGGATTTGGATTTATGGGTCTGTACCTCGTCTGTACCGCTGCGCGCCACAGACACGACGCAATTTAAAAAAGTAGAGCTATTGGGACCGCGGGAATTCTTACTGGTAAGTGGTAACAGTACTTGTGAACTTTTTGGCGGGATCGGGAAGCGTCACTTTAGCAGTTTTGTGTTTCTTGTTAAAAATTGTGTTGTGGCGGATGTTAGTGTCTAATAATGGTTGATTATTAACCACTAAGTGTTCGGGAACATGCACAAGTGTTGGCAAGTGAAACAAAATGACGGAAAGTGTCTTTCGACATTCCCTCAAGAAGTCCATGGGGAGGTTTCAGTAAATCCCCACACTTTTACTGAAACAAAGGGAAAGGGGGTTTGACTTGACTGCCACTTACTTTGACCACGAGTGCTATAGAATTTGAAAACATTTTAACACTTGACATTGGCTAAATGCACAAGCCGTGCGAAGCCATTTAGAAAAAAAAACGACGACTTACAAAGCATTTTTAATTATACGAAATGTTAAGTATTGATAGAAAAGCAACACACCCCACGACTTTATTTATTTGTCTGATCAATGACTTTAATTGATGAGAAGAGTAGTGGGATAGCGACTGGTACCTACGATCTAGAATTATTTTTCTGTTTTTTAGTATTTTTTTTTTCATTCATTCATCATTCATTATCAGCCTATTAATGTCTCCCCTGCAGGGACACAGGCCTTCCCTATGGATGGAATAGGGAGATTGGGCCATGACCCACCACGCGGGCTCAGTGCGGATTGGTGGGTGCTAACGACCACAGATGCAGCCGGGACCAACGTCTTAACGTGCCTTCCGAGGCACGGAGAAGCTCGTGATAGTTAATTTTTGGTCACCCATCCAATGACCGACCACTGCGATAGTTACTTAACTTCAACGATCGCAGCCGGAAGCGCTAACTTTTTTAAACGGTTTTATTTAGCTCACCCCGTTTGTTTTATTCTTGGGTCAAATTTAGTAATTCAAATTTCACCCTCTTCCTGTCAACCGATTAATCTGAAATTTTGTATACACTTTGGATTTTGGTGACAATACAATTATGTTTATTCATTATCATTATAAATTCAAGATGGCCGCCGCTACAAAATGGCGGATAATTTATGTTTTATGAATCCCATCAATATGGGTATCAAATGAAAGGGCTCAACAAGCAGAATACAATATACTATAAAAAATTGAAATCCAAGATGGCGGCCGCTACAAAATGGCGGATAACGTAGGTTTTATCAATCCCATCAATATGGGTATCAAATGAAAGGGCTCAATAAGCAGAATACAATATACTATAAAAAATTGAAATCCAAGATGGCGGCCGCTACAAAATGGTGGATAACACACCCGAAAGCCATACAGTTTCCAGCTAAGTACAATTACGGGACGGCTGAAAGAAGAATGTTGCCTTTAATACTATCATGGGCTTCTACAATACATAAAATGCAGGGCAGCACTGTGGATCACGCAGTCGTATACTTAGGTGCGAAACTGTTTGAAGAAGGTCAAGCCTACGTGGCTCTTAGTAGAGTAAGATCTTTGCAGGGACTACGTATAGAGGAGCTGGACTGCAATAAACTAACGGGCAAGAAACCTTGCAATAATGAAGCACTAAATGAATTAAACAGAATGCGAAATAAAAACTAAAAACTAGAAAATAAAAATAGGTAAAAAAACTTTTTAAGTTAAACGGTTTTATGTTAAACATACATTGCAATGTTTAAGATAAATGTACTAAAAACCAAAAAATAATAAAATAGATACAGTCGTGGGAATTATAAACATATGCATAGACTAGACTAAAATAAAAACGTGGGGCACGTCAATTGTCTACAATCGTTGATTAAAATGTTTGTTTTGTAATGTTACACTATAATTAGGCAGTTGTTCAACCGACAACGATGGACGTGTGATAAGTAGGGCTAGAATGTGGAAACAAGCTAGCAAGCTCGATTATAAGCGAGTTTTAGGGTTTCATAGTGGTGAGCGAGTAGTACTTTTATCATATGTTTTGTCGATTAAAGACAAACTACGAGCAGTGAAACGATTCCTCGCCAGCCAGCAGTGTGAATGTCCAACGATAAACTAGTTGAAACATCTCTTTTATTTACATGGAGTGTATAACTATTGGAATTTCCATGAGCAAGAAAATAGTAATTTCCTCACCGTCTGCGGGCCAACAGCCTAACGACGAATTAAACTATTCTTCCATCGCACATTAAGTCGATAATTTGTAGACAATTGACGTGCCCCACGGTTTTATTTTAGTCTAGTCTATGCATATGTTTATAATTCCCACGACTGTATCTATTTTATTATTTTTTGGTTTTTAGTACATTTATCTTAAACATTGCAATGTATGTTTAACATAAAACCGTTTAACTTAAAAAGTTTTTTTACCTATTTTTTTTTACATATTTTTAATCTGCATTTTTTGACTTTTATTATTTTCAAGTATTGTTTTTTTCTTTATGTGATGAATCCGCATGTAACGCCGGCGCCCTTCTTAGATTTGAATTTTTTTCTAGTGTTTATGTTATGGGCTAAGTGATTAATCGGGCATTATCCATAATGCCTCCGAATTTCACTGGGGTGAGGTGATCGTAGCGCAGGTAGCGCCATCTATTGAGGAGGCTAGTGATTATTTTCTCCACGTTAGTTACATGTGGGGCATATAGATGTCGCCGCAACAGACCTAAATAAAACCATCATAATACATTCGAAAAATATTCATTTATTTCTTAAATTAGAGTTTTTTATTATTATTATTATTAGCATGCTTACAACACAAACACATTATCATTAGACTAGGCATTGATTAAACAGGTACATGGAAGTATATGTCGGATGTCTGCGCGCGGCCCCACGCGTCCAGCGGCGGTTCTTGTTTCGCGAACACTTTCGGTTCCGGCGCTGCTGGCGCTTCCGGTTTGACCTGAGCGATATGAGAGCATAGAGGTATAAGAGAGACCCAAATAGATTAATATTTAATAACCTACCGAAATTAACTTGGTACTTAAAACAATGTAATTGTATGTGTGTAAAAGTATATAATGCAATACCTAATGAAATAAAATGTCTACCCAGTAAATTATTTAAAGCAAAACGAATGACTTGGCTCAAGGAAAAAAATTTTTATACTGTAGAAGATTTTTTTAATGACAAATTTGACAATCGAATAATGTAAATTAGTTATTTATTTAGTATTACATGGTTTATTTTGAAATGAATGAATATGATTGAAGATTCTGTATAGATATAATTTTAATCAAAAAAATATTTAATGGAATTATTTGTAATATAATTATATCACGGTATTTATAATTGTATAGTAAAGACCCCTTTTTTAATTTAATTTAACTTTAATTTAGTCTTTTGTATAAATTTCATGCCATTTATGGTAAAATATGTAGAATCTATTTGTATACATGTCATCTTATTGTACCATATTTTTTGCAATAAATAAATCTAATCTAATAGATATATATAGACTCTACTACCTGGGTTCCGAACCTGGGGGTAATTACCCCTCGGGAGGTAAATCCGCCATACTTTGGGGGTAACAAAGAACCTAATTATTTGGTCAAATCTAAATAATAAGAAAATACTATATAATAATACTACTAAATAGAGCATATAGAGCATGCAAGCCCGCGGGGTGCTGAGTGTGGGAAGCGGGGCGAGATTTTCTCCTGATGATGACATTATTAGAGACGAAGATGTAGCGGCCAAATTGGAATTTCTTGGACTGATGACATTTTAAAGTCGGGGTAAAATCTGTTTTCCTAATAGGTTACAGGGGTAGCAGTATTGGAAAGGTTAGGAAACACTGGTCTACTACAAGTGGTAGTGTCCCTCTAATAGAAAGAGAAAGAAGATGAGAGACCGCTAGCTTTCTCTCTCTAATCGCGCATGCGCATTGGCAACCGTAAGCATCTTACTATTTCGACGTGTTGCCATTGGATGCCATACGTCACAAGGGAGAGAAATAGCAAGTGGTCTCTCATCTTCTTTCTCTTTCTACTAGACGGACACTTTTAGAGCCGCCTTCCCCACTCTATTGTTATACCTCTATATATGAGAGACGTGTTACTGGATTGGTGCGGGGTCTCGTTATGAACTCTTCACGGCGAGAACAGCGGTTGAAGCTAACTCGCCTCGCGTTAATAATTCATAATAAGTGTTTTCCAGAAGGGCAAAGTCACGTCTTTATTAAAATAGACACTTGAAAACTGTGCATTAAATTGGTAAAGCTTTTTATAAAATCGAGGACTACCTACATTGCAGACTAGTGGCCCGCCCTCGCTTCGCTTCGGGGTAGAATTGATCAAAATCCTTTCTTAGCGGATGCCTACGTCATAACATCTACCTGCATGCCAAATTTCAGCCCGATCCGTCCAGTGGTTTGGGCTGTGCGTTGATAGATCACTGTGTCAGTCAGTCACCTTTGAGTTTTATATACAGGGTGTTACAGAATTCCGAAATAAAATTTGTAGGTATGTATTCCGAAATAAAAATTTGTAGGTATCTTAGCGGGGCGCAGGGGCGCCTGGGGGACAGAGGGGGGTCTGTTTAGGTAGTAGTAATCGTACGCATTTATAGGGTTGTTATAGGCAGGTGTAAAACGATATTTTTATTAATTTTATTAGAAAATAAAAGTGATCTGAAAGGCGTCAAACTTTCGTAGGTAATTCTATACAAGGAACACAACCAAACCCTAAAGTTTTATTTCGGACTTTTGTCACACCCTGTATATACTAGCTGACCCAGCGAACTTCGTACCGCCCTAAAAAAATAGGGGTTGTCCAGCGGACACAATTGTGAATCTAAACACACACAAAAAATTTCATCAAAATCGGTCCAGTCGTTCAAGAGAAGTTCAGTGACATACACACTCACAGAAGAATTATATATATAAAGATATATATGTAGACGGACACTTTTTAAGGCTTACAATGTTGAATAAACTCTGTTTTATTTAATTTTACGGTAAAACTGTACTTGTCTGGCCTGGGTAAACCTCGGCGTGTCGGGGCTGCTTGAGGTGCACTCACCGCACGTGGGTCCGATTGGCGGTGCGCTGGGTGAACACGGTTCCTAACTTTTAGGGGTTTTGTTCCCAGATTTAGGGGCTAGATGTGTTAAAACGGACCGTTTTAGGGGCTGGAATTTTTGGGGGTTCTTTTAACAAAACTTGCAATTAAATCGAAAAACAAAGCGTGTGTTTCTCTTTCAGTTTTGTGCGTAGAATGGAACGCACCATGATATGAAACGATCGACCTGACTGTGTGGCGGTTTGTTTCCTAATGCTGTATGGATTAAAGTTCTTTGCCTATCACCAATAGTTAAATAATAAAACAACAACATAACATTCATGTTCGTTCTTTCATTCGTTCACGTCACACTCACGGCTCACCATTCTTTTTTGTCATTCATTCAATAAAATAATTTACTGTAGCTAAATAAGAAACGTTTTAATTTATGAGAATTTAGGTAATCAGTAGGTATATATAAAATTCTATTTTTAGGGGATTTTAGGGGAATTTAAAAAATGCTTTGGGGAAATTTTTGGTAAGGGTTGTTCACTGTGGGTGAAGCTGCGGCCGCACTCACCTTGGCGTGTCGGGGCTGCTTGAGGTGCACTCACCGCACGTGGGTCCGCATGGCGGTGCGCTGCGTGAAGCTGCGGCCGCACTCACCTTGGCGTGTCGGGGCTGCTTGAGGTGCACTCACCGCACGTGGGTCCGCATGGCGGTGCGCTGCGTGAAGCTGCGGCCGCACTCACCTTGGCGTGTCGGGGCTGCTTGAGGTGCACGAGCCGCACGTGGGTCCGCATGGCGGTGCGCTGCGTGAAGCTGCGGCCGCACTCACCTTGGCGTGTCGGGGCTGCTTGAGGTGCACGAGCCGCACGTGGGTCCGCATGGCGGTGCGCTGCGTGAAGCTGCGGCCGCACTCACCTTGGCGTGTCGGGGCTGCTTGAGGTGCACGAGCCGCACGTGGGTCCGCATGGCGGTGCGCTGCGTGAAGCTGCGGCCGCACTCACCTTGGCGTGTCGGGGCTGCTTGAGGTGCACTCACCGCACGTGGGTCCGCATGGCGGTGCGCTGCGTGAAGCTGCGGCCGCACTCACCTTGGCGTGTCGGGGCTGCTTGAGGTGCACGAGCCGCACGTGGGTCCGCATGGCGGTGCGCTGCGTGAAGCTGCGGCCGCACTCACCTTGGCGTGTCGGGGCTGCTTGAGGTGCACGAGCCGCACGTGGGTCCGCATGGCGGTGCGCTGCGTGAAGCTGCGGCCGCACTCACCTTGGCGTGTCGGGGCTGCTTGAGGTGCACTCACCGCACGTGGGTCCGCATGGCGGTGCGCTGCGTGAAGCTGCGGCCGCACTCACCTTGGCGTGTCGGGGCTGCTTGAGGTGCACGAGCCGCACGTGGGTCCGCATGGCGGTGCGCTGCGTGAAGCTGCGGCCGCACTCACCTTGGCGTGTCGGGGCTGCTTGAGGTGCACGAGCCGCACGTGGGTCCGCATGGCGGTGCGCTGCGTGAAGCTGCGGCCGCACTCACCTTGGCGTGTCGGGGCTGCTTGAGGTGCACGAGCCGCACGTGGGTCCGCATGGCGGTGCGCTGCGTGAAGCTGCGGCCGCACTCGGAGCACGAGAATGGCTTCTCGCCCGTGTGGGTGCGAACGTGGTTCACGAGGACACTCTTGCCCTGCGCGTGTGTATACATCGTGCATGTAGTGCCGACATGCAAATATACAGGCGGTCCCGCGGGTTTGTCGTAAGGAGGAAAAGCATATTCAATATTGAAGATAGGATATTTTACTGAAAGAGGACATCGGTTTATTTGTAGTAACTAGAACTGCGTTTACAGCTTTTTTTTTAAATCTTCCTTTCATTTAAAATGCTATAATATTTAGAAAAAAGTAATCCTCATGATTAAATCTTTCGACGATTATCATAAAATGCATGTTTTTTTGTTTGACATTTCACGAGTTTGATTCCCGGTTGTGGCAGGCGATTTTTTAAAAACTGTGAATGCAGTTCTGCTGACTATTTAAAATAAAATGATGTCTTCTTTTATCAAAATAATTTATCTTCAATATTTAATATGCTTTCTCTCCGCGTGACAAACCCGCGGGACACCCTGTATAATAATTTCATATGCACAATGATCAGCCCAGCAAAATGGTATGCTAGGATAACGGATAGCAATAGATACAGAAGTCAAACACATAACTTTAACACGAGATTTAAGAACAAGGACTTCAAAAATCAAGAGGTTCATTTCTGGGTTGTAGTATTGCATGTTAATAAAGTTCCCCTAGATCTGATTGAGATTCCTCTGACCAAATTTAAATCTCAGATCAAGAATACTCTTATAGACCAGGGGCCCAATTCTCGCGGCGTAGATATTATATCGGCTTCGAGATAATATCGAAAGTAGGGATATCTATTGAAAATATCTACTGATGGTAAAAAATGCTATTCTCGTGGATTTTCGATATTCCAATGATATTATATCTATCGTAGATATTCTTTCACTGACGAATGCGTTCCGTTTTGCTCGATTAAGTTAACATCATAGTCTATATAAAATAATAATAAATTAGAGCAGAATTTTACAAGCAACAAAATGATATTTTATGAATTCCATTCATATTAAATATGAGTATACATTTTTTAAGTATAAGAAATCTCAACTTTACCTAAATTGTATGCGTATATAACTTCAACGTTATGTATAATGAAACGTCAATATTATTTAAGATTCTCCCTTTTCAGGGAAGGCAAAGGGAACAATGCCCATAAAGCCTAGGTTTTAGTTATATTAATCTTCTTTTTTTACATTCGAATGTCGGTGTGACACATTCTAATGTTTCTTGGAGTGTTTGGCACGAAATTTATGGAGTTGGCTTTTTCTCTAAGCTTCTGTGAGGTAGTCAACACTACAATAAAGTTCTCGCGTCCACTTGACCGGAATAGCGTATATTTTAAAGATTCCACTAATTCTTCAGTTGCGCAGACGGTTGTAACACCAAATCACACCAATTTTATTTCACAATATCCACTATGAACGAATTTTAGAATAATTAAAATAAGATGCCAACCGCACTCGCAGAAATCCCGCCAAAACTCCGTATCGTCAATAAGAAAATGGTGTCGATTCTGGCATGATTCTCTAAACCCAAACGTAAATTTGACAACAGTTTATCCTTGTCATTCTCCATACAGAATGAAAAGGAGAGACTGATGTTAAATTTAGTTCTAAGTTTAGAGAATCGTGTCAGAATCGATACCAATGTCATTCATAACTTTAAAGATTTCTAACCAAATTTTTGTTTAAACGTAATTTTTTTATGAAGTCGGCGTCCCTCATTTCAAGTGGGCCCTCTTGCTCTCACAACGGCGGCGCCTTAGCACAGCAGCAGCAATCACGTCATTTATTAAATCATTGACGAAAACATGAATCAACTCATCCATCGTTAATATAAACTGGTGTCGATTCTGGCACGATTCTCTAAATCTAAACTTAAACTTGACAACATTCATTCCTTGTCATTCTCTATACAGAATGAAAAAGAGAGACTGATGTTAAATTTAGTTTTAAGTTTAGAGAATCACGCCAGAATCGACACCATTATTTACCTACTTCTTTATTTACTATAATTATTTATGAAGGCAGTTAACAATATCTTGAGGTAACAATAATTGGCAAAGACACACGACAACACAATAAATAATAGGTAAAAAAAGTGGAAATAACAAGATTGACATGCCAAGATCCATAGATAATTATATATAGAAGGCTCTTTACCAGTCGATGTATGTCTACTGATCATCCGTAGATAAATATCTATTGCGACATGGTGAGAATAGGGCAAAAAGGTTTTCCTTCGATAAAAGCCAGATCATTCGATTTATATCGAAGGTGATATAATATCTATGCCGCGAGAATAGGCTTGTGTCCACTAACAATAAAGCGGATGGCTAACAGTTTCTAAATATGAATTACGATATACAGATAACGAAAAATAAAGCTATTTATCATAATAATTAAAGATTATTATTATTTTTATGAAATAAATTCGGTAATAAAAGGCCACGTGATAGTAAACACCAATCAGAAAGACTGACGTCACTCCGTGCAAAACATTACTTGTGTTGTGGTTAGAGTTTTCATAGATTTTATTGATTTGTCATTCATGTGATTGTTACTTTGATACACTTTATCAGTTTGTTCTTAGATAATTATTGTAAGAAAGCCTAATATGTATAGCCATCGGGAATTACCAAAGCAAATAATAATAGTTTACCCAAAATAAAAAACAAACCTAAATATGATACTTGGTATAATTAGCATATTATTAGGCAACTAGAACAAGAATATAAAGTGTGTTTATTACGAGTAATACGAACAAATATACTTAACTCTCAAATTGACTTTAAATCATGCCATAAAACTAAATTTACTTACCTAACCTCAACCTATTGTCATTGTTTTATCAATTTAAGGCAATATAATTTATCCAGCTTATGTCACATTTAGATTACCTAGATTATGCTATGCTAAGTACTTACATCAAAAAGATCTTCACAAAAATACATTATTTTATTTGTTGATAAACAATGAACACCATCCCTTCTTGCAAGTTCTAGCCATTTTTACTGCTTTTGTAAGTTGTTTAAAAGGTATATAAATAATTTGTCTGGCGTTTTATGCTTGTACTTTTACACTGGGGCACTATACAGTACTTGAAATACGATGGATTCATTTTTAATGAAATAATTCTATTAGTCAACGTACAGCATACTGTTTGTTTTGCACGGCGTGACGTCATTCAAGACGCCATGACAGTCATGAGCGTTTTAGAGGGAAAATTAAATATTTTTGTTAAAATTCAAAATACATATTGTTACTGTATTATTTTATTTAAAATAATATTTTTTGGGGTAAAATAAACATCAACGTATATGATTAAGCACTTTTTAAAATTTAGGCAACTAGCCTATTGGGCCCCAGGGTCGATAATTTTTGAGACTAAAAAAAATTATAGTAGGATGAAACCCATTGGAAAAGGTAGAGAATATAACAAAAATGAAAGGAAAAATAAATTACGGGCGATCTGAGGTCGGGAAGGGGCAGGGGGTGAGTTTGTAAGGGTAAAAAACGGTTAATCTTGATTTCCGGTAAAACCGCAAGTCCTATGAAAAAAAGTTAAATGGCAAAGTTGTAGGTAATAAAAAGATCTACAACTTTTGTATCGACACTTTTTTCACATAACCTCAAAATTTATATGAAAAATTCGAATAACCGAGTTTTTGGTTTACTATTTTTATTTTTTGCAAAAAAAATATTTCTTCACGAAATTTAGTGAAAACTGACCTTTGTATGTCCCAAATATACAGTAATTTTTTTATTTAAAATATTCATTTTTTCACCTTATTTAGACTTAAAATCGAAAAAGCACCCTAATTTTCAATCGAAAATTCTCACGTCAAAATATCTGCTTTCAAAAAAGTTGTTGTGTTTTTTGTTTGTTGAAATCTCTACTTTCTGATGGTATAAAAAAATGCATTTTTGGGCGGGGGCCGGCGCCCGCGGTGCACGCTGCGCACGTGCTTGAGCAGCGACGCGCGCGACGCGAGTGTGAGTGTGAGTGTGAGTGTGAGTGTGGCCGCCAGTACTAGAGTGAGTGTGTGGAGCACTCACCCGGAACGCCTTCCCGCAGGTGTGGCACACGTGCTTGGGCGGGGGCCGGCGCCCGCGGTGCACGCTGCGCACGTGCTTGAGCAGCGACGCGCGCGACGCGAGTGTGAGTGTGAGTGTGAGTGTGAGTGTGGCCGCCAGTACTAGAGTGAGTGTGTGGAGCACTCACCCGGAACGCCTTCCCGCAGGTGTGGCACACGTGCTTGGGCGGGGGCCGGCGCCCGCGGTGCACGCTGCGCACGTGCTTGAGCAGCGACGCGCGCGACGCGAGTGTGAGTGTGAGTGTGAGTGTGAGTGTGAGTGTGGCCGCCAGTACTAGAGTGAGTGTGTGGAGCACTCACCCGGAACGCCTTCCCGCAGGTGTGGCACACGTGCTTGGGCGGGGGCCGGCGCCCGCGGTGCACGCTGCGCACGTGCTTGAGCAGCGACGCGCGCGACGCGAGTGTGAGTGTGAGTGTGAGTGTGAGTGTGGCCGCCAGTACTAGAGTGAGTGTGTGGAGCACTCACCCGGAACGCCTTCCCGCAGGTGTGGCACACGTGCTTGGGCGGGGGCCGGCGCCCGCGGTGCACGCTGCGCACGTGCTTGAGCAGCGACGCGCGCGACGCGAGTGTGAGTGTGAGTGTGAGTGTGAGTGTGAGTGTGGCCGCCAGTACTAGAGTGAGTGTGTGGAGCACTCACCCGGAACGCCTTCCCGCAGGTGTGGCACACGTGCTTGGGCGGGGGCCGGCGCCCGCGGTGCACGCTGCGCACGTGCTTGAGCAGCGACGCGCGCGACGCGAGTGTGAGTGTGAGTGTGAGTGTGAGTGTGGCCGCCAGTACTAGAGTGAGTGTGTGGAGCACTCACCCGGAACGCCTTCCCGCAGGTGTGGCACACGTGCTTGGGCGGGGGCCGGCGCCCGCGGTGCACGCTGCGCACGTGCTTGAGCAGCGACGCGCGCGACGCGAGTGTGAGTGTGAGTGTGAGTGTGAGTGTGGCCGCCAGTACTAGAGTGAGTGTGTGGAGCACTCACCCGGAACGCCTTCCCGCAGGTGTGGCACACGTGCTTGGGCGGGGGCCGGCGCCCGCGGTGCACGCTGCGCACGTGCTTGAGCAGCGACGCGCGCGACGCGAGTGTGAGTGTGAGTGTGAGTGTGAGTGTGGCCGCCAGTACTAGAGTGAGTGTGTGGAGCACTCACCCGGAACGCCTTCCCGCAGGTGTGGCACACGTGCTTGGGCGGGGGCCGGCGCCCGCGGTGCACGCTGCGCACGTGCTTGAGCAGCGACGCGCGCGACGCGAGTGTGAGTGTGAGTGTGAGTGTGAGTGTGGCCGCCAGTACTAGAGTGAGTGTGTGAAGCACTCACCCGGAACGCCTTCCCGCAGGTGTGGCACACGTGCTTGGGCGGGGGCCGGCGCCCGCGGTGCACGCTGCGCACGTGCTTGAGCAGCGACGCGCGCGACGCGAGTGTGAGTGTGAGTGTGAGTGTGAGTGTGAGTGTGGCCGCCAGTACTAGAGTGAGTGTGTGGAGCACTCACCCGGAACGCCTTCCCGCAGGTGTGGCACACGTGCTTGGGCGGGGGCCGGCGCCCGCGGTGCACGCTGCGCACGTGCTTGAGCAGCGACGCGCGCGACGCGAGTGTGAGTGTGAGTGTGAGTGTGAGTGTGAGTGTGGCCGCCAGTACTAGAGTGAGTGTGTGGAGCACTCACCCGGAACGCCTTCCCGCAGGTGTGGCACACGTGCTTGGGCGGGGGCCGGCGCCCGCGGTGCACGCTGCGCACGTGCTTGAGCAGCGACGCGCGCGACGCGAGTGTGAGTGTGAGTGTGAGTGTGAGTGTGGCCGCCAGTACTAGAGTGAGTGTGTGGAGCACTCACCCGGAACGCCTTCCCGCAGGTGTGGCACACGTGCTTGGGCGGGGGCCGGCGCCCGCGGTGCACGCTGCGCACGTGCTTGAGCAGCGACGCGCGCGACGCGAGTGTGAGTGTGAGTGTGAGTGTGAGTGTGAGTGTGGCCGCCAGTACTAGAGTGAGTGTGTGGAGCACTCACCCGGAACGCCTTCCCGCAGGTGTGGCACACGTGCTTGGGCGGGGGCCGGCGCCCGCGGTGCACGCTGCGCACGTGCTTGAGCAGCGACGCGCGCGACGCGAGTGTGAGTGTGAGTGTGAGTGTGAGTGTGGCCGCCAGTACTAGAGTGAGTGTGTGGAGCACTCACCCGGAACGCCTTCCCGCAGGTGTGGCACACGTGCTTGGGCGGGGGCCGGCGCCCGCGGTGCACGCTGCGCACGTGCTTGAGCAGCGACGCGCGCGACGCGAGTGTGAGTGTGAGTGTGAGTGTGAGTGTGAGTGTGGCCGCCAGTACTAGAGTGAGTGTGTGGAGCACTCACCCGGAACGCCTTCCCGCAGGTGTGGCACACGTGCTTGGGCGGGGGCCGGCGCCCGCGGTGCACGCTGCGCACGTGCTTGAGCAGCGACGCGCGCGACGCGAGTGTGAGTGTGAGTGTGAGTGTGAGTGTGGCCGCCAGTACTAGAGTGAGTGTGTGGAGCACTCACCCGGAACGCCTTCCCGCAGGTGTGGCACACGTGCTTGGGCGGGGGCCGGCGCCCGCGGTGCACGCTGCGCACGTGCTTGAGCAGCGACGCGCGCGACGCGAGTGTGAGTGTGAGTGTGAGTGTGAGTGTGGCCGCCAGTACTAGAGTGAGTGTGTGGAGCACTCACCCGGAACGCCTTCCCGCAGGTGTGGCACACGTGCTTGGGCGGGGGCCGGCGCCCGCGGTGCACGCTGCGCACGTGCTTGAGCAGCGACGCGCGCGACGCGAGTGTGAGTGTGAGTGTGAGTGTGAGTGTGGCCGCCAGTACTAGAGTGAGTGTGTGGAGCACTCACCCGGAACGCCTTCCCGCAGGTGTGGCACACGTGCTTGGGCGGGGGCCGGCGCCCGCGGTGCACGCTGCGCACGTGCTTGAGCAGCGACGCGCGCGACGCGAGTGTGAGTGTGAGTGTGAGTGTGAGTGTGAGTGTGGCCGCCAGTACTAGAGTGAGTGTGTGGAGCACTCACCCGGAACGCCTTCCCGCAGGTGTGGCACACGTGCTTGGGCGGGGGCCGGCGCCCGCGGTGCACGCTGCGCACGTGCTTGAGCAGCGACGCGCGCGACGCGAGTGTGAGTGTGAGTGTGAGTGTGAGTGTGGCCGCCAGTACTAGAGTGAGTGTGTGGAGCACTCACCCGGAACGCCTTCCCGCAGGTGTGGCACACGTGCTTGGGCGGGGGCCGGCGCCCGCGGTGCACGCTGCGCACGTGCTTGAGCAGCGACGCGCGCGACGCGAGTGTGAGTGTGAGTGTGAGTGTGAGTGTGAGTGTGGCCGCCAGTACTAGAGTGAGTGTGTGGAGCACTCACCCGGAACGCCTTCCCGCAGGTGTGGCACACGTGCTTGGGCGGGGGCCGGCGCCCGCGGTGCACGCTGCGCACGTGCTTGAGCAGCGACGCGCGCGACGCGAGTGTGAGTGTGAGTGTGAGTGTGAGTGTGAGTGTGAGTGTGGCCGCCAGTACTAGAGTGAGTGTGTGGAGCACTCACCCGGAACGCCTTCCCGCAGGTGTGGCACACGTGCTTGGGCGGGGGCCGGCGCCCGCGGTGCACGCTGCGCACGTGCTTGAGCAGCGACGCGCGCGACGCGAGTGTGAGTGTGAGTGTGAGTGTGGCCGCCAGTACTAGAGTGAGTGTGTGGAGCACTCACCCGGAACGCCTTCCCGCAGGTGTGGCACACGTGCTTGGGCGGGGGCCGGCGCCCGCGGTGCACGCTGCGCACGTGCTTGAGCAGCGACGCGCGCGACGCGAGTGTGAGTGTGAGTGTGAGTGAGTGTGGCCGCCAGTACTAGAGTGAGTGTGTGGAGCACTCACCCGGAACGCCTTCCCGCAGGTGTGGCACACGTGCTTGGGCGGGGGCCGGCGCCCGCGGTGCACGCTGCGCACGTGCTTGAGCAGCGACGCGCGCGACGCGAGTGTGAGTGTGAGTGTGAGTGTGAGTGTGAGTGTGGCCGCCAGTACTAGAGTGAGTGTGTGGAGCACTCACCCGGAACGCCTTCCCGCAGGTGTGGCACACGTGCTTGGGCGGGGGCCGGCGCCCGCGGTGCACGCTGCGCACGTGCTTGAGCAGCGACGCGCGCGACGCGAGTGTGAGTGTGAGTGTGAGTGTGAGTGTGGCCGCCAGTACTAGAGTGAGTGTGTGGAGCACTCACCCGGAACGCCTTCCCGCAGGTGTGGCACACGTGCTTGGGCGGGGGCCGGCGCCCGCGGTGCACGCTGCGCACGTGCTTGAGCAGCGACGCGCGCGACGCGAGTGTGAGTGTGAGTGTGGCCGCCAGTACTAGAGTGAGTGTGTGGAGCACTCACCCGGAACGCCTTCCCGCAGGTGTGGCACACGTGCTTGGGCGGGGGCCGGCGCCCGCGGTGCACGCTGCGCACGTGCTTGAGCAGCGACGCGCGCGACGCGAGTGTGAGTGTGAGTGTGAGTGTGAGTGTGGCCGCCAGTACTAGAGTGAGTGTGTGGAGCACTCACCCGGAACGCCTTCCCGCAGGTGTGGCACACGTGCTTGGGCGGGGGCCGGCGCCCGCGGTGCACGCTGCGCACGTGCTTGAGCAGCGACGCGCGCGACGCGAGTGTGAGTGTGAGTGTGAGTGTGAGTGTGAGTGTGAGTGTGGCCGCCAGTACTAGAGTGAGTGTGTGGAGCACTCACCCGGAACGCCTTCCCGCAGGTGTGGCACACGTGCTTGGGCGGGGGCCGGCGCCCGCGGTGCACGCTGCGCACGTGCTTGAGCAGCGACGCGCGCGACGCGAGTGTGAGTGTGAGTGTGAGTGTGAGTGTGGCCGCCAGTACTAGAGTGAGTGTGTGGAGCACTCACCCGGAACGCCTTCCCGCAGGTGTGGCACACGTGCTTGGGCGGGGGCCGGCGCCCGCGGTGCACGCTGCGCACGTGCTTGAGCAGCGACGCGCGCGACGCGAGTGTGAGTGTGAGTGTGGCCGCCAGTACTAGAGTGAGTGTGTGGAGCACTCACCCGGAACGCCTTCCCGCAGGTGTGGCACACGTGCTTGGGCGGGGGCCGGCGCCCGCGGTGCACGCTGCGCACGTGCTTGAGCAGCGACGCGCGCGACGCGAGTGTGAGTGTGAGTGTGAGTGTGAGTGTGGCCGCCAGTACTAGAGTGAGTGTGTGGAGCACTCACCCGGAACGCCTTCCCGCAGGTGTGGCACACGTGCTTGGGCGGGGGCCGGCGCCCGCGGTGCACGCTGCGCACGTGCTTGAGCAGCGACGCGCGCGACGCGAGTGTGAGTGTGAGTGTGAGTGTGAGTGTGGCCGCCAGTACTAGAGTGAGTGTGTGGAGCACTCACCCGGAACGCCTTCCCGCAGGTGTGGCACACGTGCTTGGGCGGGGGCCGGCGCCCGCGGTGCACGCTGCGCACGTGCTTGAGCAGCGACGCGCGCGACGCGAGTGTGAGTGTGAGTGTGAGTGTGAGTGTGAGTGTGAGTGTGGCCGCCAGTACTAGAGTGAGTGTGTGGAGCACTCACCCGGAACGCCTTCCCGCAGGTGTGGCACACGTGCTTGGGCGGGGGCCGGCGCCCGCGGTGCACGCTGCGCACGTGCTTGAGCAGCGACGCGCGCGACGCGAGTGTGAGTGTGAGTGTGAGTGTGAGTGTGGCCGCCAGTACTAGAGTGAGTGTGTGGAGCACTCACCCGGAACGCCTTCCCGCAGGTGTGGCACACGTGCTTGGGCGGGGGCCGGCGCCCGCGGTGCACGCTGCGCACGTGCTTGAGCAGCGACGCGCGCGACGCGAGCGCGGCCGGGCACGCGCCGCACCGGTGCGCGCGCACGCCCTCGTGCTGGATCAGAGAGTGCGCGCGCAGCCCGCCCGGACTCTCGAACCGCTTGTCGCACACGGGGCACGGGAACCTGAGGGGCCGGAGTGCTCTCTATATATATATATACACGCCTACCCGCAAGGGCGGATCCAGTTTTCATCAGGGGGGGGGGGGTGAAAAATGAAATGATGTGGTGTGGTGTCCCACGCCGAAGGAACCCCTAGCCGAAGGAACTTCGTTCCTACCTGGTGTCCCACGATACCACATCATTTCATTTTTTATTATTTATATGACCCCCCCCCCCCCCTCCGCCCCGCGCCAAAACTAGAAATGTTTCAAAAAAGTCCTCTATACCGTTCAATTCTAATATATAATAAAATTCCGATACAAATTAAATGAGAAAGCAACTCAAACATCATCTTTTCAAGAAAGCATACTATTCGGTAAATGAATTTATAAGTGATAAGTGAAACCGTCACTAACTTGTTTGAAACTGAAACTGTTTAGTAGTTGTGTAGATATAGATGTTATACTTGCAACACCCTGAAAGGGTCATGTTCTATGCTAAAATAATTTTAAGATCCTATACTATACATGTGCAATAAATAAATAACACTGTTCAAAAAATCTAGATTCATGAGAAAAAATAAATGGCATAAATTGCGTCCTTTAAAAATGCCGCTTTTAATGTGAAAGATTTATTTGCCCAACAAGGCTATAAATTTAAACTAAAAATGATAAATTTCAGAAATATTGTCATTCTACATCCTTAAATTATCATTTTCATATATTTTATGGCTAAATGCACATCACTTTAATAACAATATTTGGATATGTTTTTATTTATTTTTAAGCATTTAACTGCTAGATGTTTAAATCTAAAGAAAAGTTTACTAGAAAAAAAAATCCACGCGGACCAGGCAGCGAACGGGACTCGAACCCGCACCCTTCGCAATCCGGGCGAATGCGCTGACCATTATGCTACTACCACGGCCCTATTTAGGTTCGTGTTTCAAATTAAGAATTAATATATATTGAAAAAAAACATGGGTGGACAAATGTCGTAACGGCCGTCTTAGCGTGCTGCTGCTATAGGTGTGTTTTACGACTTATCCAAGGCTTTTGATTACGTTTTTCATAAAACATTACTCAGGAAACTTCACTACTCTGGATTTAAAGATACCAATCATTATCTTATAGCATCATACTTGCAGGATAGGATTCGAACAGTTGACATCAATGGTAATAAGTCTCTTAGTTTATAGATGCAGATGGGAGTTCCACAAGGCTCAATCCTTGGGCCTTTATTATGTTTAACTAGTGGGTGCCCAGGATTTTGTCTACGTGGAAAAATGGTTTCTCATGCAATTTTTCACACCCTTAAAGGATGATTTCTAGGATAAAAAACTATCTTACGACCCCCGTCCCCGAAACTCAAACTATCTCCCTACGAAATTTAATCTCAACAAGCTCAACAATGTTTGCTTTAATAGATAATGAACCGACACACTTTCGTATTTATAATATTAGTATAGATTTATACTAGACAGTAAATAAACCTTGAAAATCTGATTTGATTTTCGCAACAAAGATAAAACTTACAACTATGCAAGTGTATACCTACAGGAATTGAGTTTCGTGATGATCAAACAAAAAAAATGAGACAAATTTTTAGATTTGAGAATTAAGAAAAATTAGGGTAACAATACTCCAAAAAATAGTCGTTCTCCAGTTGTGTTAATCGTTAATCTTAGTTAAAATACGTCTTAGAAAGCGATGGACAAATAAATCCACTATCGGACTAACTGAAAAATAAAGAAAATTCAGTATGAGGATTTAGTTATCGCGTTTTCATTAAATAACTTTATAAAAATAAGTATCATGAGTATCAAGAGAAAATGTTCATTTCAATGTTTGTCAATAGATGGCGCTTTGTCGTTTTAACACGCGCTATCGTTGTATCGCGACAAAAAGTATAAGGCTTGGATTGTATTTTTCTTTTAATTCAATAAACGAGTGAGTACAAGTGTCAAGTAAGTTTTTTCATTCAGTGTTGCCCTCAGTTAATAGTACAAAAGTGAACAAGTGAACAAATTTGAACATGGTGCCGAAACCGGGAATGCAGTGAGTGTACAGTGAACCAAAAAACAGTATAAACAAGTGATTTGTGAGACTGTTAAAAACGTAGACTGTGGTTAAAATTTAGGACTTAGAAAAATTCTCTCCAAAAAAGACTAACTTTTTTCATACAAGTTGGGACTATGAAATTTTTGCTTCAAAAAAAAGACTGAAATTTTTATAGTTGTTGATACTTAAAAGAATTTATATGTCATTGGTCTTGTTAAAATATTCTAAAAAGAACTTTAATTTATTATGATTGTGGACACTCAAAATTTTACGTGTTGAAGCTATATTTTGATAACAGAATTTCTTTGTGGTGTGGACAATATCGCTAACAATGGAAGGGTTAATTCTCAAACAAGAAGATAGTATTGAAAACCTTTCGAAAACGTTAACAAATTACAAAAAGTCCCCGAAAGAAAGAATTACACGGGAATACATTGAGTCGAGATTAGAAAACTTGGAGAAACTATGGGCAAAGTTTAACAATTCAGAGATTGTGGCAAGAGTGAAACGTGAAGAGAAACAAAAATTAGAGTATTTTACACTAGACATGTTCAGCAATTTTGAAGAAACCTATACCGATTACAAAACAAAGTTGAAATACGATCTTACTAAGCAAGTTACACAACCAAAGCCTGCTGTAGTGGCAATTACGTCTCCAAATCAATCAACCAGTGATGTGAGTGTGAAACTTCCTAGAATAGAACTGCCAAAATTTTCTGGTAGTTATGAAGAGTGGGAAACATTCCATGACATGTTTGTGTCTTTGATACACAATAACTCTAGTTTGAGTCCAGTTCAGAAGCTACACTATTTAAAAAGTAGTCTGTCAGGTGAGCCAGATCAATTAATAAGAAACTTACAGACTACAGTATCAAATTACGATGAGGCTTGGAGTCAACTTATTCGCCGCTATCAGAATAAAAGATACAATGTCAATGAGATTCTTAAACGACTTTTCACGCAAAGAACTATCACTGCAGAGTCTGCAAGCGGTGTAAAAGTATTGCTCGACAAAACAAATTCTTGTCTTAAGTCGTTAAATAATCTAGGTATTAATACCATCTCCTGGGATCCTATAATCATTTATATGGTGACTGAAAAATTAGACGCTGAGTCCAGAAAACAGTGGGAGAATCAAGTCAGCAATACTTCATCAGATGAACTACCCACATGGAACCAGTTGACACAATTTCTTGAGGCAAGATTCCGGACCTTAGAGATAATAGATGGTAACAAAAACCCAACTCGCACCCACCATCCAATTGCAAAACAAATCACTCATAAATCATATCATTCCACTGTACATGAAGATAAAATGAAAAATCAAATTACATGTACTATGTGTAACGGGCATCATCTACTTTATCAATGCAAGCAATTCGCCAAGCAGACCCCCCGAGAGAGATCACAGTATGCACAACAATCTAATCTCTGCTTTAATTGTCTTGCACCTACTCACTCCGTTAAAACGTGTCATCAAGCCACGTGTTGTCGGCGATGTGGTCGACGACACCACACCCTTCTTCATTTCGATCGCGAAAAATTCAACTCAACAATGGGTGCTACCTCTCAACTAGAGAAACCTTTTATCAATCAAGGGGCAGCATCCAATGAGATAGTGAGCAAAGAATGTTCAGGATCATCACAAAATGAAACCAAGCTAGTTACTACCTTCACCAGAGAAAACCAACACAAAGACACGGTTTTACTAGCAACTGCAAAGATTAATGCAAAATCTAAAACAGGACAGACCTTCATATTAAGAGCTTTATTAGATCAAGGGTCTCAGGCCTCGTTTGTAACTGAAGCCACAGTGCAACTCCTTGGTCTTCAACGCATTCCAATTACCGGTATGGTTACAGGTGTGGGTGATGGTCAGACTCGAGTTAAGAGCATGGTTATTTTTAACATTGAATCAAGACGCAGGTCTCAGTTCTCAATGCAAATTCAAGCTTATGTCATGAGCAACTTAACTACCCACCTGCCAGTAAATAGAGTTACTACGCCAAGATGGCTTCTTACAGAAAATTTATCATTAGCAGATCCGATGTATGATTTCCCGAGCAGAATCGATGTGTTATTAGGAGCAGAAGTATATAGTGAAATACTTCTCGACGGGATAAGACGAGATGAAAGCGGTGGCGTTGTCGCACAAAACACACAACTTGGATGGATTCTCTCAGGCCAAGTGAAGGAAAACATAGAGGCGAGTAATATAATCAACCTTCATATAACGGTCAATGAAGATCATCTATTAAAAAAGTTTTGGGAAATTGAAGTAGAACCGGATTTAGTGAAAAAGAAGATGACGAAAGAGGAACTGAAATGTGAAGAGTTTTATAAGCTAACAACTACGAGAGATCAAGAAGGACTTTACATAGTGCGTTTACCTTTTAGAGAAGAGTATCCTAAATGTATATATGGAAAATCTAGAGAAATATCGTTGAGAAAATTTGAAGCATTAGAGAGAAGATTAGTGAGAAGACCTGAACAATATAGAGATTACAAGGAAGTGATTAGAGAATATGAAGACTTAAATCATATCTCAGAAATCACAGACATAGATCAAATCAATTATGCCCAAGCTATATATCTCCCTCATCACGCGGTTGTCCGCGAAGATAAGGAGACAAGCAAAACTAGAGTTGTTTTCAATGCCTCATCCAAGGGCATTAATGGAGTGTCTCTTAATGACGATTTTCTAGTTGGGCCCAAATTGCAAGAAGACCTACGTCATATACTGATGAGATGGCGTAGTCATCGTATATGTTTAGTGGCCGACTTAGTGAAAATGTATCGCCAAGTACTAGTACAAGAGAGAGATAAAGATTATCAACGCATTTACTGGCGATCGAATCCTGACGAGACAATAAGGCATTTCAAGCTATTAAGATTAACCTTTGGGACAGCTTGTGCTCCCTACCTAGCTGTTAAAACACTCCAACAGCTAGCAAAAGATGAGTGCATGAACTACCTTACGGCGTCGGAGATTACTTTACGAGACTTCTATATCGATGACCTCATGACTGGCTGCGAGACGGAAGAGCAAGCTATTGTGGTTTACGAAGAGACAAACAACTTGATGAAAGCAGGAGGGTTTGAAATACAAAAATGGTGTAGTAACAGCGACAAGGTATTGAAGTTTATTAAAAGAGAGAATCAAAGCGATAAAAAATCATTTCCAATAAAAGAAGACGAGACAGTTAAGGTGTTGGGCATTTGCTGGAATCGGTGCACTGATAATTTTGAATATAAAGTGGCTTTACCAGAAATAGAGCAACCTGTAACAAAGAGACAAGTACTATCGGACATTGCGCGCTTGTACGATCCAATGGGATGGATCGCTCCAATCATCGTCGTGGCCAAAATGTTTATTCAGAAGTTATGGAAATCCGGACATCAGTGGGATGATATACTAAGCCCTGAATTAACGCACGAATGGCTACAATTTAGAAGTGAGCTATCACAAATCAAAACTATTGAGATACCAAGATGGTTGCAGTCTATGAGCCAATACCACATTGAATTACACGGCTTTGCTGATGCTTCACGTGCAGCTTATGCAGGGGCAGTATATATGAGAGTGAGAGATCATGTGGGATCATATCGGGTTAGTCTCATTACTTCCAAGACGAAAGTGGCGCCAGTGCAAAAAGAAGTTTCCATACCTAGACTGGAATTATGCGCCGCTTTGTTGACGGCAAAATTGTTATTCGAGGTGTCGCAGATTATGAATATACCAAAAGAAAATCTTCAAGGCTGGTCTGACTCTAAAGTTGTACTAGCATGGCTTCAAGGTCTACCTACGAGATGGACTACCTTTGTTAGCAATAGAGTCTCGGAGATTGCTAGCATTTTAGATTTTGAGCAATGGGGCCATGTATCAAGTCACGATAACCCGGCTGATGTCGCATCTCGCGGACTGAAGGTTGAAGAATTAGCTAATCACCATCTTTGGTGGCACGGCCCTGACTGGCTACAAACAGCTGGCAGTATTTCCAAAGTAGATGTCAAGTTTACTACTAGTGAAGAAGAAAGATTGGTTAAAGTTGTAGCCACAATGGTCGACACCACAGAAACCTTTTTGTGGATCAGATTTTCATCACTGCCACGAATGTTAAGAGTTCTCTCCTACTGTAAAAGAGTAAAATATTTTAGATACCCAAAAACAGACAGACCACAAATATCATCAGGAATTACACCAGAAGAGATGGAGGATGTATTTGAAATGTGCATCAAACAAAGTCAAGAGTTTCATTTCAATTCAGAAATATCACAAGTAAAATCTGGTCAAACTATCCAAAAGAAGAGTCCATTACATTCGCTTAATCCTTTTCTTGACGGAAAAAGCATTCTAAGAGTCGGAGGCAGAATTCAGCAATCAGTTGAGCCATATGATAAAAGACATCCTATTATTGTTCCTAGTGATAGCCATCTTACCAAGCTAATAGTATGGGATGCTCACATAAAAACCAAACACGGAGGACCTCAGCTGATGATGAATTACGTAAGATCAAAATTTTGGATGCTTCGTGGGCGAAACAAAATAAAAAAATGCTACCAGGAATGTATCAAGTGTGTGAGGTTTTCTACCAAAATAAATAACCAACTTATGGGACAGTTGCCAGAAGCGCGATTGACACCGAGTAAACCCTTTAAGTCCTCGGGAGTAGATTTTTCAGGACACATCAATATTCGATTCTCTCCTGGGCGAGGATCAAAGTCTTACAAAGGCTACATATGTTTGTTTATATGCATGGCCACTAAAGCCATCCATTTGGAAGCAGTATCGGATTTGTCAGCTCAAGGGTTTATTGCGGCATTCAGGCGTTTTACAGCCAGAAGAGGCCATTGTAAAGATCTTTATAGCGACAACGCTACCAACTTTGTAGGTGCTGACAAACTATTGAGAAACATGTTAAATGATGCTATGGTAGAGTTGCCAGCGGATATTGCTCAAATGCTTGCATCTGAAGGAACCACTTGGCATTTCATACCTCCTCATGCTCCCAATTTTGGAGGATTATGGGAAGCTGGAATACGTTCTACAAAGACTCACCTTAAAAGAATAATCGGTGATGCCACCTTAACATTTGAGGAACTATCTACCGTTCTAGCACAAGTTGAGGCCTGCCTGAATTCGAGGCCACTTACTCAAATCAGTGACGTTCCAGGAGAGCCCTTGCCATTGACTCCAGGCCATTTCTTGGTTGGAGAGCCGTTACTTGTCATACCCGATGTGGATCACTCTAATGATAAGGTCATGGGTTTACAACGATGGAGGTTAACCCAAAAAATGATTAATGACTTCTGGACTAAATGGTCAAATGAATACATAGTGTCTCTTAATCAACGAACTAAGTGGACCAACAAAGGCATAGAACCAGAGGTGGATGACGTCGTGATAATACGAGAGGATAATCTACCCCCAGCAAAATGGCTATTGGGGAGAGTTATTGAGAAGCACTACGGCAAGGACAACATAGCACGAGTAGTTACTGTGAAAACAAAGCATGGTACATTCAAACGTCCATGCAACAAATTATGCATATTACCCAAGCCTATTTCTTAATAATTGTTTTTTTTGTATTCCATTAGGTTTATTTTTATTGTTTTTTTTTTGTATAATCAATCACGGTGGGCGGTAGCGCGAAAGAATTTTTTGTAAAATATACTTCTATATTTAAAGTGTTAGAAGGACAAAGTCCTTGGTGGGCGGAATGTTCATTTCAATGTTTGTCAATAGATGGCGCTTTGTCGTTTTAACACGCGCTATCGTTGTATCGCGACAAATAGTATAAGGCTTGGATTGTATTTTTCTTTTAATTCAATAAACGAGTGAGTACAAGTGTCAAGTAAGTTTTTTCATTCAGTGTTGCCCTCAGTTAATAGTACAAAAGTGAACAAGTGAACAAATATTATCAATAATAAGCCGTTAACTCACTTGAAACTCTGCATGTCCTTGTGTTTGAGTGACTTCAGCAAATGTTGCCGCAGTGTGTACGCAGTCTTGAATCTGTTTGACAAATATAACGGTAAAGTTATATCTAATATATAAAATTCTCGTGTCGCGGTGTTTGTGGTTAAACTCCTCCGAAACGGCTTTCCCGATTCTCATGAAATTTTGTGTGCATATTGGGTAGGTCTGAGAATCGGACAATATCTATTTTTCATCCCCCTAAATGTTAAGGGTAATCCACCCCTAATTTTTTTTTTCAATTTTAGTTTTTTTTTTTTTATTTTTTTATGATACATCATACAAAAATACATAGTCCTAAATTTTCACCCTTAATAATTTTCGCTGGCCCCTTCCCATCTACATGGAGCCAACAATAGAGCTGGTGCGGCTTGCGAAGCGGCTGAAAAAGCTAAGGTTTGCAAATACAGGGGTCTAGGCTCAGCATACTTTATATTATTTATTTATTTCTTATTTTTTTCGGTTTTATTTCTTTTTTTACTAATATACGGTGAGGTTTCAAATGTTACACATCATACGCAACTACTGTAAGGCTCGCTCGTTTTTTTTTTGGAGTTTACTCCGTAAGAATCGATTTGCATATATAAGGGGCCCGGTATGAGAAAAATGTGAGGAGTAAAATCTACTGAACAAATGACCTCGTTACGTTTTTGTGCGCAACCTCATCTACGCACCTTTCACTTTTAGCCATGGCAACGGATAAAAAACATTAAGCTGTCACAAATGTCAGTAGAATAAATAAACTAAAAATAGATAAAATCGGAGCAAAATTAATGAAAACAAATAAATAACAGAATATAGAGAAATGCCGGTAAGTGTCCAGCACTCTGGAATAGTGATTTTCAGTACAGATGGAATTATCCTTATCCTTCCTTACTATAATATTATAAAGGCGAAAGTTTGTTTGGATGGATGTATGGATGGATGTTTGTTCCTCTTTCACGCAAAAACTACTAAACGGATTTTAATGAAACTTTACAGTAATGTAGCTTATAGATCAGAATAACACATAGGCTACTTTTATCCCGAAAAAAATGTTAGGTTCCAGAGGGATTTCCAAGAAACTTAGTTAACGCAGACGAAGTCGCGGGCGACCTCTAGTAATACATATTTTCAAAATGATGACTAGTGTGTGATATTTTTGAAATTGTGTGTTTCCAGAAATACATAATAAAATATATGATGAATATCGCTGATGTTAGATGATAAAATGTGTGACATGGAACCTATGATAGTCGAAACCATGGGACGATTCCTGAGGTATCTCTACTTGTAACCGACTTCTTCGGACTTGATTTTGTTTTGTGTCTGTTCAAAGACAATCGTTTTTAGAGTGTAAACTCCGGTCGTGCGTCGGAGCTGACACACACAATTTTTGTTTTTTTTTATTATTACTTCACACACTCACCTCACATCGCATTCCACGCAGTAAAAGTCCTTCGCGTCGGAATGAACCAACTGATGCAGCTTGATCTGCGTCCGAGTGCGGAACTTAGCGCCGCACGTCGCGCAAACGTAGTTCTTGATGCCTTGGTGAATGCTGGATATAATAATAATAATAAATAAATATTTCCGACACTCACACCAATTAGCCTAGCCCCAAAGTAAGCACTATAAGGCTTGTGTTATGGGATGCTAGGGTAACGGATAGAATACATATACTGTACATATATAAGTATATTTATATAAATACATATTAAACATCCATGACTGGAGTACAAATGCTCGTATTCATCACACAAACATCTGCCCCCACAGGGATTCGAACCCGAGACCTCTCGAGTCGGCGACAGCCATGAAACCCGGCGTACAAACCACTCGGCCATGGAGGCCGTCAAGAATATAGAAATTTATATGTACCTACTTATCTTATTAGCTAAATTGTTTCGTTTGCTCATAAATTAAAACGTTACATATTTAGTTACAGTAAATTATTTTATTGAATAAATACATTTTCCGAATGGAAAATCAAACGAAAATGAGCTGACAGGCTGTTAAATCTTATTTAGCTGTTTTGACTGGTGGAAGGCAAAGAACTTTAGTCCATACAGCCTTAGGCAACAATCTGCCACACAGTCAGTTCCGTCGTTTTATATCGTGGTGTGTTCCATTCTACGCAAAAACTGAAAGAAAACATACCCTTTGTTTTTCGATTTAATTGCAAGTTTTGTTAAAAGCCCCTAAGAGAACTCCCAAAAAATTTCAGCCCCTAAAAAAGTCCGTTTTAACCCTTCTAGCCCCTAAATCTGGGGGCAAAACCCCTAAGTTGGGAACCGTGTCTGGTATATCGTGTCGTGTGTAGACCGGGTCTTCGCACTCTTATCCTACGGGTGCGGTGTCTGCCTAATGCTAAGCTAGTAGCGATGGGCGTTGAATTAACGAACGGTTTAAATATACGGTCTACGTTCAATCGACGCTTCAACGGTCTACAGTTTATTCATTTAAAGGTCTTTGTGTTCGCTTATACAATAAAGTCCCAAGCAATATCCAAGAGTTAAGCATAAATAAATTTAAAGATATTATAAAAAAAACACTTATTAAAAAAGCTTATTACAAAGTGTCTGATTATATTACAGACAAAAATGCTTGGGTTTGAACTGTTCCAATCATTCCAACAGGTTTTCTATATTAAATAATCATAATTGTATTGACGTTGTAACAACATAATGATTTGTAAATGTTGTTGCATTAGACTTTTAATGTTGTGGAGTTTTTTTCGCTCGTTTTTCTCCGCAGCTAAAAAATATGTCCATAACGAGTGGTAGAAAAAAAAAATTTTTTGGACGATTCAAAAGAGTTGTACTATACATCCAATTTGAATAAGTAATATTGATTTCTGATTCGTTAACTAGTTGAATTAATAGACGGCTAAACTGAGAGTCCACAGCGTTCATATCTACTGACAACGCGACGACGACGCGTAAACGTTTCCGGTTTACCGGTTACAAGTCCATACGTTCGTTCATTCGTTGAAATAAAGCAATTTGAAACTAAAGTATATGGCGTGGGAGTTGATATTTGTTCGCTTTTTAAACTAGAGTTGTTAGAGTGGAAAGGCAAGAGTTTTCTGATATTGCGTGAAAGAGTACGTCGATGGATCTGGCTTAACGATGCAGTGAAGGATGAACGAGTTTATAATATTTTTGAAGTTATACTTCTTTAGCCGCGTTATGAAAAAATTATGAGAGTGAAATTTTCATCACTGTAACACAAAATTTTAACATAATGAAGTTAGCCGCGGGCGCGTTATTTGTAATATTTTATTTTCCAAGTGACCGTGGGGCAGATTTGAACAAAGCAAACAGGGCAGATTTGAACGGGACATTGAAATGAAATGAAATGACTTTTATTCAGTCTAGGCTGTTACAAGCACTTGTGAAGGTCAAGAACACAACGTGTTTTAGTTACTTACAAGTGCTAATTACATATGGACTAATAACTTAAATTCAGTAGTGATTTTAATTGAATATTTTGAATATTTATTTAATTTTTCAAATTAAAACTGAACTTAATTGACTGTGTTAACTATCCTTTTCCAGTCCTTTTATTATTTTATTGTAATTATTAATTATTTGCATGCAATTAAAAAATATTTTTAATGATGCTAAAGAAGTATAACTTCTCACGCGCGTACATAAGTTACACGCATCCATTTTTTTTACCTCAAATAGTTGCAATTTTGTTTATTGAAATTTGAAATAAGGGGGTCGCGAGGTCAAGGTCAAGGGACACGTGAATACGAATTTAGTGCAAAGTTCGTTTGAATTGAATGTTTATTGTTGTAAGTATTTTGTAAACATTTAAATGACTATAATGTAAAGTGAATACTAAATAAAGGTCGCGCCCGTAGACCAGTCACCGCGTAGTTGATATGAACCCCTCAACGCTGGCCGTTATCACGTCAACTAGTCGAAGAATTCAACTAGTTGATCGACTAGTCGATGGACGGTTTAGATTCGTCGACGAAAAATTCGTCGCTACCCACCTCTATAAGCTAGTGTGCAAGTTTGCTAGCTGTGTAATATTGGTGTTTGTGGTCTGTGTGGGAGGAATCGGAGGCGACGACGAACAGCGAAGTGCTTCGATAACTATACTATACTATAAACGAAACGATAGCGCGTTTCAGAAATCAAGGTGCTGCCATCTACCGCGCATCATACTCACAGCATATGTTCGGTGAGTCCGTCCTTGTTGACGAACGTTTTCCCGCATTGATCGCATTTCGGTCTCGCGCCGCTGTGATGGTTCCTCATGTGGCCGCGATGAGTTTTGTTATTGCTGCAAATAAATAAAGCAAATAAAAAATATGAAGAAAATATTAGTACATTCTTTGCAAAAAATCGTAATTTTTGAGCTCCTTGTTTACTCCCTTAGAAAAGATTTTGACTATTTACAAAAGAAGTCATCATCATCATCATCAGCCTCTTAATGTCCCCACTGCTGGGGCACAGGCCTTCCCTATGGATGGAATAGGGAGATTGGGCCATGACCCACCACGCGGGCCCAGTGCGGATTGGTGGGTGCTAACGACTGCAGATGCAACCGGGACCAACGGCTTAACGCGCCTTCCGAAGCACGGAGGAGCTCGAGATAGAAATTTGTGGTCACCCATCCAATGACCGACCACTGCGAAAGTTGCTTAACTACAACGATCGCAGCCGAACGCGCTAACCACCTGCGCCATCGAGCTCCTACAAAAGAAGTAAACAGTAGATTTATTCTTCCTATTGTAAGTTCTACTAAACGTTCTACCGCAGCTAGTTTACGGAAAAAACGATAATATGCACAACTTCAAACGCCTGAGTCTCTCAATAATGTTCAATAAATTAGATCAAATTAATTACTGCGACATCAGAAATATGTTTTTGTTGTAACAATGTATTAGAATTTTGATTTTCCATCTCATTAATTGTCAAAAAAAATCCACGCGGACCAGGCAACAGACGGGCCTCGAACCCGCACCCTTTTAAGATTTAAACATCTAGCAGTTAAATGCTTAAAAAAATAAAAACATACTATATTTTGCTTAAAGCAGACATTTGCCAGTAAAAGCTTTCTTAGTAATAAAAAAAAAGAATTATTAAGGTAAAGAACAACAAAAATATACTCATTTAAATAAAGTGTTTATTTTAACCACATACTATATTTATTCCCATTTTTTGTCAACTTCTATATTTTTAGAGGTAACAGCTACGAAAATACTATATTTGATAGAAAAAGAAGTTGGTAACCCTATGCGTGACTGTGTGCGTATGCGTATGTGTGTGTGTGTGTGTGTGTGTGTGTGTGTGTGTGTGTGTGTGTGTACGTGAGTATGTGTGTATCTCTCTTGCTGCTAATGCTCTTTTCACCCGTTTTAATATGTAAGATTAATTTTAATAAGACGGATAGATTTTTATATGTACAACAACGATATTAAATGCCTTAGATACACCATGAGCGCTCAAAACGTGTCCAAATCAAGAAGTGCTTGAACTCCACTCAAGCACTTCTTGGTTCACAGTCACGCGCGGACCGTTACAAAGTCAAGATGCCGCAGAGCTCCGCGAAAAAATGCGAAAATAACACTTAGAGTACGCTAAATGAGGTTTTTTCGACAGGTATCTAGTCAATGTTTGTTAATTTAACGCATTTGAAATAAATTTTGATCTAATACTTACTATAAACTGATTTAATATAAAATATTTGTGATATTCAAATGCCTAGTCGGTTATACGTCGCCATATAGCCGTCTCTTTTCCTCGCGGTCCGTGCCTGCTACATTGCTAACAGCGCGTTCAGAATTGCGCGTAGAGTCAAAGAATTAAGGTCTAAACTCTTCCGCATATAGCAATAAGTCGTAAAATTTTACGAGCTTGCATTTCGAACTGTCAGAAGTCCTTGACGCATGCGTTTTATTTAAGACCTTATATAGTATTTATAAAAGGTTACTTTAAATATTTAAATAATGCCTTATATTGATTTTGACTACGCGATCATCTTACGGAGCTCCGTGGATGGTTCAATGTACCTTTTGGACAGGTTTCAGGCACGATTTTGTTCGTGTTGGTGTATCTAGGGTATTTAATATTGTTGAGTAATTCTATTTAATTCAATATCAAAATACGAGGTAAACCTGCATTATGTATTGGGAAAACTCACAGAGGTTAGATGTTTTTTTTGACAATTAATGAGATGGAAAATCAAAATTCTAATACATTATGTTACAACAAAAATATATTTCTGATGTCGTAGTAATTAATTTGATCTAATTTATTGAACATTATTGAAAGATTCAGGCGTTTGAAGTTGTGCATATTATCGTTCTTTTTCGTAAACTAGCTGCAGTAGAACGATCAGTACAAAAAAAGGAAAATAGTATTTGCAAATGTTCTGCATTAACTTACAAAAGGGAGAATAAATCTACTGTTTACTTCTATTGGAAATAGTCAAAATCTTTTCTAAGGGGGTAGACAAGGCGCTCAAAAATTACGATTTTTTGCAAAAAATGTGAAAGGGCTTTACGCAGCTTCAAGGCAGGGCCCATGCAAGAGGGACGAGCCGGATATTTACCCCGTTCGTTCAATGTACCTTTTGGACAGGGGTCAGGCACGATTTTGTTCGTGTTGGTGTATCTAGGGTATTTAACATCGTTGATGTACAAGGAAAATCGTTTTACGAAATGCCATATTGAACTCCTTTTTTTTTTTATCTTTTATTGTTTAGGTTTTGTCCGATGACATGAGATTGAACTCCTTAATCGTGTAAGAAGCAGTAAAATGTTTTAAGCACAGAAATTAAGGCACTCACTTGGATATTTTGCCGCAAATATCGCACGTGTATAATGTGACCAACCCCTCATGCTGAGTCCTGAAACAGATAACATAAAAGACCTTATATACAATACTGGCGGCCCGCCCTCGCTTCGCTTCGGTGTAGAGCTGAAGTGTCGACTACAGTTTTTGTTCTCAGGCTTGTATTATACACAATGACATTCATCTATGATTCTTCTTATACCTGCATGCAAAGTCTCAGCCCGGTCGGTTTGAAATTGACAAAGTTTCATACAAACTTTCATTCCCTATTTTATCCCCTTGGGGGTAGAATTGATCAAAATCCTTTCTTAGAGGATGCCTACGTCATAATATTTACTTGCATGCCAAATTTCGGCATCCCGATCCGTTCAGTGGTTTGGGATGGGCGTTGATAGATCACTATGTCAGTCAGTCAGTCACCTTTGAGTTTTAGTATAGAGAAAAATTGCCTGCTTCCACTATTAATGGCCGTATCGAATTTCTTCTAGAGGTTTTGATCAGTATGTCCGCCCGGATATCAGAGGGTGCGGATTCGAGTCCCGTCTGCTGCGTAGATTATTTTTAGTAAACTCTTCTTTAGATTGATTGATGATTATAGAGGAGCTCGATGGCGCAAGTGGTTAGCGCGTTCGACTGCGATCGTTGAAGTTAAGCAACTTTCGAAGTGGTCGGTCATTGGATCGGTGACAAAAAATCTTTCTCGAGATCCTCCGTGCTTCGGAAGACACGTTAAGCCGTTCGTCCCGGCTGCATCTGCAGTCGTTAGCACCCGCCAATCCGCACTGGGCCCGCGTGGTGGGTCATGACCCAAACTCTATTCCATCCATAGAGAAGGCCTGTGCCCCAGCAGTGAGGGACATTAATAGGCTGATGATGATGATGATGATGATGATGATAATATATATATATATATATATATTATATAGTATATATATATATATTTATATAGTATATACATACAGATGGAGCTAAAGAAGTTTCACTTGAGTCGTGTGGTCATAAGCACACACGATTTTTTTGGTTATTAGCTCTCAATATGTTATTATTACTTTTTCATTTTTTTTTGTCGCAGTGACGAACTGACAGAAACAGATACGGAAACACCCAAAGAGCGGAAATCGTCGATAAGGAAGCCTTTAGTGATCGACCCCGAGAAAATATTGACAATTAACCTCAACCCCGAGGAACAGATACGCCAGAGAGAGGTGAGTTTCCGAAATCATGACAAAAATATATATAAATAATATTCGCATTCGCGAATGTCGGTACCAGATATTCGCACGCGCATTCGCGAATGTTAAAAAATGACATTCGCTACATCTATATATATAAAACTCTATCTATCTATATAAGGTGACGGACTGACATAGTGATCTATCAACGCACAGCCCAAACCACTGGACGGATCGGGCTGAGATTTGGCATGCAGGTAGATGTTATGACGTAGGCATCCGCTAAGAAAGGATTTTGATCAATTCTATCCCCAAGGGGATAAAATAGGGAATGAAAGTTTGTATGAAACTTTGTCAATTTTAAACCGAGCGGGCTGAGACTTCGCATGCAGGTATAAGAAGAATCATAGATGAATATCATTGTGTATAATACAAGCCTGAGAACAAAAACTGTAGTCTACACTTCAGCTCTACACCGAAGCGAAGCGAGGGCGGGCCGCTAGTCTTTAAATATAAGCAGTTATCAAAAATTTGGAAAATACCCTATTGAGACCACACCCAATGTTACCAAGCAAACTAAATGACATGTCTTAGATTAAAAGTGACGGTCACCCATCTCTGAGTGACCACACCCAAGCCTTCTGCACTTTTTTTAATTAATCAAACTTAATTATTATTGTGATGACGAATCAATATATTTGAATTTGAGATTTCAAAGTTACAGAGCGGTGGTCACCCATCCAAAAGTGGCCGTACCCAACGTCCCTTTTTTTTTTTTTTTTTTTTTTTTTTTTTTTTTTTTTTTTTTAATTGTTGGGAAAATGCGTGACGCATACCCCGCCCCTGGGTGAGAGACAGGGTTATGTGGGACTCCTGCTCCCCCCAAATCCCGCCCACCCGCTGAGCCAACTTGGCTCAGCGGCTGTTCGGGATGAAGGGGGGGCCCTACCCACTAAAAACCCAACAGTGCTCCCTCGCCTGCCGGAACGGGTTTCGTGGGATCCGGATGACTCTCCACGTTACCCCCGGCAGGGGTTCCTCCTCCTCCTGGCGGTCAGGGGGATGCCCGGGAGCACCCAGGCATCCCCCCTCGCGGGCGGCGGACCACCCTGTCCGCCGCCCGCTAGTCCCACTAGGGTAGAAAGAGGCGGTCGTACTGCCGCCGCCTTCCACCCCGCCGTCGGCGGCGGAGAGGGCCGGCCCGGGCGTCCTCCTCGCGGGCCCTCTCCGCTGTCTCCTTCTGGAGGATGACTTCCTCGCAGAAGGAGACTACCGCAGTCCAGGATCTCTCGTTGTCCAGCATCGCTTTAACGACGCTGGGCAACGAGAGATCCCTTCCTATTGCCATGACCATATCATGGCGCTGCCGAGACCACGACGGGCACTCCTCAAGGGTGTGCTGCGCCGTGTCCCCGACAGCGCCACAATGATGACACGACGAGGTCGCTTCCCTCCGTATGCGATGCAGGTAGCTGCCAAAGCATCCATGCCCTGACAGCACCTGCACCAGACGGAAGGTCAGCGACCCATGCCTCCTCTCCCTCCATTGACTCAGCACTGGCCGCAGCGCCTCCAGGGTCCTGACCCCGAACTGCTGTGTCTCCAGCTCCTCGGTCCACTGCTCCATGACGAGTTCGTCCAGCCTACGCCTGTGGGCTATCACCTCCTCTGGCGCCAGTCGCTCCCCTCGTTGCCGGGCCTCTGCCCTTTGCCAGTATAGGCGGGACAGCGCCTTCGCCTCCAGCGCCCACGGGGGTGACCCTGTCATTGCGCATACGGCCGCAAACGATGTGGTGCAGTACGCTCGCGCAGCCCTTTGCGCCACTATTCTTTGCGGCCTCTGCAGTAGGGCCTTGTTCCCCGCGCTTATGCATTCCGCCCAGATGGGTGCCCCATAGAGGGCCATACTCCTGATGACCCCAGCGTACAGTTTGCGACAACTGGCGCTGGGGCCACCAACATTCGGCAACAGTCTTCCGAGCGCCGCCGCCGCACTGATCAGCCTTGGGGCCAGCTGCTTAAAATGGGCGTCGAAGCGCCACTTCGCGTCCAGCACCAACCCCAAGTATTTCAAGGTGGACTCTATTGGCACTCTGGCTTCGTCCGTACCCAACGTCCCTGCATATTTATAATTTCCCATACTTATAATGGTCCAATATGAAGGATATATACACATATACCATCCTCCTAAAAATCTCAATCTAAATTTAAAAGTCCGGTCACCCATCTTGCAGTGACCATACCCAACATCTCTGCACTTTTATAATTGCTCACCTATAATGGTCCAATATGGAGGCTCGGTCGATCATCCTTCTGCCACACTCCCTACATTCGTATCGTCTCGTGTGTATCAGCATGTGAACGTTGTAACTGTACGAGGTCGGCAGAAACATGTGGCAGATTTTACACGCGAAAGTGCCGCGAGACTGGAACAAATAAATAAATATTAAATCTGCACTTGTTGATGGATTGTGCCCGCTACCAGAATGACAGACAAGAGTTTGTTAACAAATGTAAATTGAATATGTCAGACATTGGTGTTTTTCACAGCATTTTGGCCCAACCGGTCTCGGAAGAGGCTAGAATCCTGTATCGCTTTATATGTCTGCCGCGACTTTCTTCCGACAATAACACATTAAGTTAATTACTGGCTTAGATGATTTGTTAATTTATATAAGTATACGATGGAACTGACATGTCTGTAAAGATAAAAGTCCTTTAAATCAAAAGAAAAAAAAATATTAAATCTAAAGAAAAGTTTACTAGAAAAAATTCAACGCGGACCAGGCAACAAACGGGACTCTAGCCCGCACCCTTCGCTATCCGGGCGAATGCACTGACCATTATGCTACCGCGGCCCTGACGGCCGTGTCGATTTTTCTCTAGCCCTAGGCCAATGCGAAGAGATGGCGCTGCCTTGCAGCCTAAGGCTAAAGAAAATTCGAAGCGGCCATCAGTGCCGCGGTAGCATAATGGTCAGTGCAGTCGCCTGGATAGCGAAGGGTGCGGGTTCGAGTCCCGTCCGCTGCCTAGTCCGCGTGGATTTTTTTCTAGTAAACTTTTCTTTAGATTTAAACATCTAGCAGTTAAATGCTTAAAAAATAAAAACATAACTTAATACATATTTTAACACTCACACCAATTAGCCTAGCCCCAAAGTAAGCACTGTAAGGCTTGTGTTATGGGATGCTAGGGTAACGGATAGAATACATATACTGTACATATATAAGTATATTTATATAGAAATACATATTAAACATCCATGACTGGAGTACAAATGCTCGTATTCATCACACAAACATCTGCCCCCACCGGGATTCGAACCCGGGACCTCTCGAGTCGGCGACACCATGAAACCCGGCGTAGAAACCACTCGGCCACGGAGGTCGTCAAATGGTGATTATTAACATAATCACTGGTGACGATTCTCTAAATTTAAAACTGAATTTAACATCAGTCTCTCCTTTTCATTCTCTATACAGATCTCGATACAATGTCAAATTTAAGTTTAGGTTTAAAGAATCATGACATGACATTATACGCCTATTGCACGGTTTCATCATCATCATCAGCCCATAATGTCCCCACTGCTGGGGCACAGGCCTTCCCTATGGATGGAATAGGGAGATTGGGCCATGACCCACCACGCGGGCCCAGTGCGGATTGGTGACCAGCGGCTTAACGTGCCTTCCGAAGCACAGAAGAACTCGAGTTAGAAGATTTTCGATCACCCATCCAATGACCGACCACTGCGAAAGTTGCTTAACTACAACGATCGCAGCCGAACGCGCTAACTCCTCATTATATTTACAGGATTTTTTCAAGTGTGTGGAGTTAATTAATAAAAGACATCGACGAGATCGGCCCCAGCATGCCCAAAACAATGGCCTTCACTATTATTTTTTTAACTTATTAGCAACTAGTCGAGCCGTTACCGCCAAATTATCGTAAGCGACACTTTTGTCGAAATGCGTTTTTTGTGGAAACTAATATTTTAAACCGTAACAGACCCATCTCTGTTGATATTTCCCTCCAACCTTCCTTCCGTTATATTATAACGGTGTTCTTTTGGAGGGAAATATTAACAGAGATGGGTCCGATACGGTTTAAAATATTAGTTTCCACAAAAAACGCATTTCGACGCAAAGTGTCGCTTACGATAATTTGGCGGTAACGGCTCGTAGTGGCCCGCCCTCGCTTCGCTTCGGTGTAGAGCTGTAGTGTAAACTATAGTTTTTGTTCTCAGGCTTGTGCTATAAACAATGACTTTATTTATATAATTACATGTGTTATTGTGAGTCAACCATAAAAGATAGACATATGCTGTTGCGGGATATTTTTTAGACAATTTTATGAAGAATATTTCGGTCATACATGATTTCTATGCAACTTTAACCATTAGGGCCAGTGGCGGATTTACAAATTTGCCGCTAATAGGGTATTAAATTTTTGCCTCCCTTACTGACCTTTGAAATTCAATACGCTAGTTCACAATTATATTTATTCTGAAATTGCAACTTTATGATTTGTGTTCTATCGTCCACATTACGTCGGCTTTTCCCCGTTAGTTTAAAAAATTACTAAATTTAAATTGTAATTAATATTGAAACGCTAATGGAATATTTTAAAAATTCATGATCGCATAAGTACAAACCTATATTTTATAGTGCGTTTAGTAATCTTTTATATACGGACAGTGGCGGATTTACCGTACTGTAGTGACTTATAAAAAGATTATTTCTGAAACTATGTTAAGATAGTTTATACTCCCATCCCATGTAATATATGTTTATTTTTATGAAAATCATAATGATAACCAGGTACATACCTAATACATACCTAATTACCGATAGTAAAATACAGAAACAGGTAAATGGAAAGTCTTTGAACATATCATAGGTGCAAACTGCCAACACTCATAAATCAATATGAATTTAAGCATTTATTATTAATTAATTGCATTTTATCATATTATATTCGACGACCTCCGTGGCCGAGTGGTTTGTACGCCGGGTTTCATGGTGTCGCCGACTCGAGATGTCCCGTGTTCGAATCCCGGTGGGGGCAGATGTTTGTGTGAAGAATACGAGCATTTGTACTCCAGTTATGGATGCTTTATGTATTTCTATATAAATATACTTATATATGTACAGTATATGTATTCTATCCGTTACCCTAGCATCCCATAACACAAGCCTTACAGTGCTTACTTTGGGGCTAGGCTAATTGGTGTGAGTGTCGGAAACATTTATTATTTATTATATCCATTTAATGCATAATATTTAAGCTTACATAGTACCTCTATGTAACAATAAATCTATTCAGAATATATAAAGTGTACATCTTTTACGATTAAGTATAATAATTATAACCTCTAAAACTAATACATTCTGCAGTAGGTCACGGTTCCTCAAGTTGTCCGTATCTCAACAAATGCCTAATTAGAGTTTACGAATGATTCTGAACACAACTAGCATTTTCTCATTGCTGTGCGTTCTAAGGCATTCAATGTATGGGGAACGAGCAATGTCCTTTAACATCTGTAGGCATATAAAATTTTCAAAAGTTTTTATAGATTTTTTTATTAAGATACTGGTATCGATTCTGGCATGATTCTCTAAACCTAAACTTAAATTTGACAACAGTGCATCCTTGTCCTTCTCTATACAGAATGGAAAGGTGAGACTGACCTTAAATTTAATTTTAAGTTTAGAGAATCACGCCAGAATTGACACCACTAGCTGACTCGGCGAACTTCGTACCGCCCAAAAGTAATAATTTGCAATAAATTAAAATTGCGACTATAATTTGAGATTTAAACTATCCTATCTCTCAAGTTGGATCGAACTGCACATGGTGTGCGAATTTTATTATAATCGGTTCAGTGGTTTAGGAGTCCATTGAGGACAAACATTGTGACACGAGATTTATATATATTAAGATAAAAATCAAGCAATGAATTGACACCATTGACATATAAATTTTTTTTGAAGTGAAAACTTCTTTAGCGGCGTTGTACACTTTTTTTGAATGGGTAAAAAATGATAAACTCGCGTCAGGTTAAACACGTGGGCTGATCGCATCATGACGCACAATAAAAATGGAAAGGTTGTTGACTTTCAATATATTGGACGAAACATAGTAATATTTTATTTTACCGTATTATAATAATAAGTTCTATCTAGGACGTCCACGTGGCAGCTTTATTGCGAAGAAAATGCATTTTTTTTACAAGAGATGTCGCTAGGTGCGCTTAAATGTGATTCATGTAAGAAATTGTCATGTTTGTGTACGATAGCGCAATTAATAAATATTGTATTCTACCACATACATGATAGTACTTTTATACTGATAATAATTAAAGCAATTCGTGCAAAATTATTCCCTAACCATTCCAAAATATCAAAAATGCACAACGTTAATATTCAAGTTTTCACTTCTGCCGCCGCACTCCGCACTGGGCCCGCGTGGTGGGTCATGGCCCAATCTCCCTATTCCTTTCATAGGGTAGGCCTGTGCCCCAGCAGTGGGGACATTAATAGGCTGATGATGATTAAATAAAATCAATACTCACCGGGCTGTGTTTCTTCATGTGGTTCTCCAGTTTGGTCTCGAAATTGAATCCTTTGTAGCACAGGTTACATTGGAAGGGGAACTTAACACCAGATTTGCTTTCCTCCTGCGAAACAATATTCAGGTTTCATTAATATACAAGTAGCTTGGGTTATAAAATGACAAATATATATATGCACTAGCGGACCCAACAGACGTTGTCCTGTCTACACGCCTTTAATTTGAAAATTTCAAACTTTTTTTAATAAGCTAAAACATTCTGGACCATTTTGATGAAAATTATTATTTAAATGTTATAGCGCCGTCTGTCGGATCCAATGTAAAACATTCCAAAATCAACAACTACTAATAAATTAAAAATTAATTAAAAAAACATTGTCCAGCGGACAAAATTGTGAATCTAAACCATTCTCAGATCCCCTTGAACACACATAAAAAATTTCATCAAAATCGGTCCAGTCGTTTAAGAGAAGTTCAGTGACATACACACTCACAGAAGAATTATATATATATAAAGATATATCAATGACTAGCGGCCCGCCCTCGCTTCGCTTCGGTGTAGAGCTGAAGTGTAGACTACAGTTTTTGTTCTCAGGCTTGTATTATACACAATGACATTCATCTATGATTCTTCTTATACCTGCATGCAAAGTCTCAGCCCGATCGGTTTAAATTGACAAAGTTTCATACAAACTTTCATTTCCTATTTTATCCCCTTGGGGGTAGAATTGATCAAAATCCTTTCTTAGCGGATGCCTACGTCATAACATCTACCTGCATGCCAAATTTCAGCCCGATCCGTCCAGTGGTTTGGGCTGTGCGTTGATAGATCACTATGTCAGTCCGTCACCTTTGAGTTTTATATATATAGATATAGCGAATGTCATTTTTTAACATTCGCGAATGCGCGTGCGAATATCTGGTACCGACATTCGCGAATGCGAATATTATTTATATATTTTTTATAATTTTTATTATTTTTAAAGCATGTAACTGCTTGATGTTTAAATCTAAAAAAATATAACTAGAAAAAAAGAGAATTTTAGATTTAAACATCAAGCAGTTACATGCTTTAAAAATAATAAAAATTATAACTTTAATTGCTATTTCTTCTTTCTAATGTTTAATACTTGTAAAAGTATTCATTTGACATTGTGGGTTACCTATAATGCGAAGAGATGGCGCTGCCTTGCAGCTTAAGAATGGCTAGAAGAATTTCAACGCGGACCGTGAGGTCCGCGGTAGCATAATTGGTCAGTGCATTCGCCCGGATTGCGAAGGGTGCGGGTTCCGTTCTGCTGCCTGGTCCGCGTGGAATTTTTTCTAGTTATATTTTTTTTTTATATATTTTTTGTCATGATTTCGGAAACTCACCTCTCTCTGGCGTATCTGTTCCTCGGGGTTGAGGTTAATTGTCAATATTTTCTCGGGGTCGATCACTAAAGGCTTCCTTATCGACGATTTCCGCTCTTTGGGTGTTTCCGTATCTGTTTCTGTCAGTTCGTCACTGCGACAAAAAAAAATGAAAAAGTAATAATAACATATTGAGAGCTAATAACAAAAAAAAAACGTGTGTGCTTATTTAAGACCACACAACTGAAGTGAAACTTCTTTAGCTCCATCTGTATGTATATACTATAAATATATATCATCATCATCATCAGCCTATTAATGTCCCCCACTGCTGGGGCACAGGCCTTCCCTATGGATGGAATAGAGAGTTTGGGCCATGACCCACCACGCGGGCCCAGTGCGGATTGGTGGGTACTAACGACTGCAGATGCAGCCGGGACCAACGGCTTAACGTGCCTTCCGAAGCACGAAGGAACTCGAGAAAGTACATATTTGGTCACCCATCCAATGACCGACCACTGCGAAAGTTGCTTAACTTCAATGATCGCAGCCGAACGCGCTAACCACTTGCGCCATTGAGCTCCTCTATTTGTGCTTTGTTTTATTTCAAATAACGCATATGTGAATTTAGAAATTTTATTTTTTATGTGATTAATATGGTTTTTCCAGTTAATATTTTTATCAATATGGAGTCCAAGCAAAAGTTGAAGAACGTATCAACTACGAGTACCGCTATTTTTGTATTTCCTATAGTTTCAGATTTCCAATATCCACTTTGAGTGACGTCATTATACACTAAAAAAATGGATGCGTGTAACTTATGTACGCGCGTGAGAAGTTATACTTCTTTAGCATCATTAAAAATATTTTTTAATTGCATGCAAATAATTAATAATTACAATAAAATAATAAAAGGACTGGAAAAGGATAGTTAACACAGTCAATTAAGTTCAGTTTTAATTTGAAAAATTAAATAAATATTCAAAATATTCAATTAAAATCACTACTGAATTTAAGTTATTAGTCCATATGTAATTAGCACTTGCAAGTAACTAAAACACGTTGTGTCTATATAGAAACTAGAAACATGTGGATAAATATTATAAATATGAAAACAGTGATCAGAGGCGACGAGCGTGCCAACATTGTTTTTGACAACGCGATCATCTTATGGAGCTCCGTGGATCGTTCAAAGTACCTTTCGAACAGATGTCTAATAATGGTGGATTATTAACCACTTAGTGGTTAATAATCCACCATTATTAGACACTAACATTCATAACGCGCCCGCGGCCAACTTCATGCTGTTAGTTTTGTGTTACAGTGATGCGCGCGCATCTTAAAATTTCACTCTCATCATTTTTTCATAACGCGGCTAAAGAAGTATAACTTCAAAAATAACTTGAGAACCCTTTCAAAAACTTCTCAAATAGCTTATTATACTACCAACACCAAATGTAACAGTTGAATGCTTAAAATAAAATATATTTTCTCACCTATTATTCTTCTTCCTCTTCTTCTTCACTTTGGCCTCCTTCTTCTTGGATTTCTTCTTCCGTTTTTCCCTTTCTTCGCTTACGATTTCAGCAGCTGGATTTTCTAATAATCCGCTAAGGTCATCCAACAGTCTGTCTCTAAAAATGTACAAAACCAAATTCAAATATACAGCATTTTAAATCGTATATAGTCTTTTATTAAATAGAATGAACTTAAAGTACCATAGAACACAGAAAGGGGTTAGAATAGGGGTGATGACGGGGTACAGTAAACGAAATTCTATAAAGTCCGTCAGTTAGATGATCAGAAAATAATGGACACGTATTTTTTCTTTGGGCAATCAACCAAAAAATGACAAAGTTACAGCGCGTCAAAGTTTGGGAGTAGGGGCTCATGACATGAATTTTCACTTAAAAGTGTACCAAAACGTGACGTCATGCGACTTTTCAAATCAATATATCTCTGCAATGTTTATATTATGTGAAAATAAAAATACGTGTCCAATACTTTTTGATAATCTACCTGATAAATGAAAAAAAAATATTAGTCATCATCCCTATTGTGATCATAGACCGTTTGTACGGGAACCGATGGCGCCGGTGTCACTGCACTTCCACCTAATAGATAATGGCCAATCAAACGAGTCACTCAAACAATTAAACCAATCTGAGCTCACACCCGAGAGCGACGCAATCAAAACCAAGTTTTGGTCAAGTTATGAGCGTTTGCTCAACCAACTGTGGCGCGCCTGCCTAAGGCCCTTCTAGTGTTGCCGATCGATAGTCGACTATCGATGATTAATCGATAGTCTATCGATAGCCAACCAATCTTATGACAATCGATCGGGATATCGATAGCACAGTAAAAGCCAATACTATCGGATGAGTGAAATACTATCGATACTATCGATAGCATTGTAGATCGTTAATAACAAACCATCGATAGTATCGATACTGTAGATTTTATTTGCAACCATACTATCCTTACAGTGCTTACTTTGGGGCTAAGCTAATTTATATATTATTATAATTTTAAATATTATTATTATTGTAATTTGATCTAAATTTGTGCTATTTTTTGTTTAAAAGTTCATTGATTATATTTATACGCCTAAAAAACCACGCATAGAAAACGGCTCATGTTACGCGCGATGTGTGCGTGACTCTAATGTCAGTGTACTAAAGCAGTCAATGTGTGCGTGTGTAGCGACGAGTACATATACCACATGTAGTAGATATTTTTTGTACCGCTTCCGCGTGTATATAATCAAATACTATGACTTCATGAGTTATCTCATATTGAAGTCATTTTTCAATTTGACGACTCTGTTTGACACAGGGAGAAAAAAACAGCCCTTGCTGAGTTTCTTGCCGGTTCTTCTCAGTACAAGGTCTCTAGATGGAGTAGCTTTTCGACATTCACACGTGCTTGTAACAGGCTGGACTGAATAAACGATATTGAATTATGTTTTATTTTTTTCTTAAAGGGGCGCCTACATGATTACACAAAATTCAATATCGTTTATTCAGTCTAGGCTGTTACAAGCACTTGTGAATGTCGAAAAGCTACGCCATCGGTTCGCAAATCTACGGCGGGAGACCTTGTACTGAGAAGAACCGGCAAGAAACTCAGCAAGGGCTGCTTTTTTCTCCCTGTTTTATTTCATACAGTGTCGTCCAATTGAAAGTTGACATCAAACTTGCAAACATGTGTTGAGGTCAACTTCCATCACATAATGTCAAATATGTAACAATCAATGAATTTACTAACAATAAGTGCAAAGATAAGTCCCAAAATAGCAAGAAACAATTTTCAAAACAAAATGAACAAGTATATGAAAGGGAGTAAGTGTAAGGTTCTCTTCAAAACTCTTTCTAAGGCTGGGAGCCTTAGTTTAATATAACTTTTGAAAAATTATCTACAGGTAAAATTACAACCAGGCCGTTTTATCATTCAAATATTGATTGACAGTATAATATCCTTTCTTAAGTAAACAATTCTTAATGTGTATTTTAAATTTATGAGGAGGCAAATCAAGGATATCAATAGGAATTTTGACATTTCAGTTTTATATAAAAGCCATATAAGATAGATGAGACACTCACTTATATTCGATGAGAGCTATGTTATCCTCGTAATCGCAGTCGGAGAAATTGTCAAATTCATTTTTCACTTCGTCAGCATTTGCCGATAGTGCAGGGTCCAAGTTGTCCAACGGATGACCAGTATCGTGCTGTGAAAAAAATATATTAGAAACATTATTGGAGTTTACTCCTTAAGAATCGATTTGCATATATAAGGGGCCCGGTATGAGAAAAATGTGAGGAGTAAAATCTATCGATGAATGACCTCGTTACGTTTTTGGTGCGCATCCTATGTCGCGCAACTTTGACAAACAAAGATGACGGATTGACATTAATAAATTTTTTAAAATCTGAACTGAATTTAGATATTGTTTCTGATAGAGCAATGGGGACAACGAGGTATGGTACAACCATTGATGCGGTATTTTCAAGATTCGTGAACCACGTATCTACGAACGTCCATGTGTCTTATTTTAGTTACCATAAACCACTTGTCACTGTAACTAATAATGCAGACAATGTTGATTTAATTAATATTTAAAAAAATGATAATAGTCTGATAATAATAATTACATAATTTATCAACATTCCTAATGATATATTTATGCACATCTGAAATTGACTATTGTAAAACGTTTAATGTAAAATATTTCGTCGATTAGTTATAATAAATGTATATGAAATTAATAAATATATTATAGCTATTAACGGGATTGTTACCATGTACCTTGTTTTTTATGAGTCTCCGATATTTCGGCACTGTTGCAAGCGCCATGATCACGGAGTAACTGAAGTAATTGCGGGTAGATGTTATTGGCAGACATATTGGTCTACCCTCTGACGTCGTCTTTTACTGCGCTCGATACCCCTACCATTGGTCACGTTCTCACTATTCACTCGCACCTGTTCCCGACACACAATACTCACAGTATCCGATCGCGGAACGACACTTTTTTGATTTTTACGGTTTTTGCACATACGAACCACTGGATTCCAGACACTTGACAATTTAAACCCATCCTCACGATTGAAATTTTTGTGTTTGGTTATTTCAATCGCTTCCCTGACCAATCTTGGTATGTACTGGCGTTCTGTCGAGATGATTTGTGGATTATGGAGCTCAATCCAGTGATTCGGACCCGAATCGATTAAATGTTCCGCGATAGCTGATTTCTGCGTATCATTGTTTCTGACTGCTTTTATGTGTTCTTTCATTCGGCACGCTATTGTCCGCTTCGTTTGGCCAATATATGAACTACCACAGCTACAGTCGATCTTATATACACCAGGTTTCTCCAAAGGGAAGTTGTCTTTGGGAGATCGTAGAAACTGTGACACTTTGTATCGGAGACTCATAAAAAACAAGGTACATGGTAACAATCCCGTTAATAGCTATAATGTTAGTGACCATGAAAGTTTAAAACAATATATAATAAATATATATTTATATATGTATATTATTTTCATTAATTTATTAATTTACCCTTTCATACAGTATCAATCTTTTTTAAGTTAAATAAACTCTTTTTGCGTCTGGTTAGACTATCGAACTTAAGGAGTAAACTCCAGTCGTGCGTCGGAGCTGACACACACAATTTTTTATGTTAAAAGGGTTATTACAAGCGTATGGCCTCGTTTGAGCCATTTTGTTCCGCAAAAGTTAATCACACTAATATTATATATAAAGGCGAATGTTTGTGAGTGTGTCTGTATGTTAATAGTCTAAACAGCTGGAACGATTTTAATAAAATTTGGTATGGAGTTAGATGACACCCTGGATTAACATATAGGCTACGTTTGACTGCGGGAAAATATCCCTAATAACACCACAGGGCACAGCTAGTAAAATATATAGTATGTATCAACAGTCAAAATAAAAAAGGAAGGTTGCTCACCTTATTGTAAATGACAAGTAGCGCCATTATTCATAAAATATTTTCGAAATGCCCTTCTATTTAAATGCCTTTACGAATCAGTGACAAAATATGAGATGGTAAGGTAACAAAAAATTAAGACGCTTAATAGGGATGCTGACTAATTTTTTTCTTCGTTTATCAGATAGATTATCAAAAAGTATTGGACACGTATTTTTTCTTTTTTCACATAATATAAACATTGCAGAGATATATTGATTTGAAAAGTCGCATGACGTCATGTTTTAGTACACTTTTAAGTGAAAATTCACTAAAAAGTGACGTCACGAGCCCCTACTCCCAAACTTTGACGCGCTATAACTTTGTCATTTTTTGGTTGATTGCCCATAGCAAAAATACGTGTCCATTATTTTTTGATCATCTAACTGGCGGACTAAATAGAATTTCGTTTACTGTACCCCGTCATCACCCCTATTGCCAAAAAGCGTTAAACTGCTAAATGTTTAGAAACATTTTGTTAGAAAAAATTCCACGCGAACAAGCCAGCAGACTGGTCTCGAAACTTGCAGTCTTGCAGCTTAAGAAAGGTTACAGCAAATTCGACACGGCCATTAGGGCCGCGATAGCATAATGGTCAGTGCATTCGCACGGTCAGCGAAGGATGCATGTTTCTTTAGATAAATTTTCTTTACATTTTAAAATAAATTTTCAGTTTGATGCAGAAAAAATCTTATTATAGTATTTTAAGTAGGTCATTTCTGACCAAAAAGGTATTTTAACGATTTAGCTTCTCCACTGTCAATATAATAGCAGGCGGCTGAAACCGCGGGATACAGTTATATACAAGTACTCACGGTAACAGGCTCGTGGTAGCCGAGTTCACTCTTATCCACCAGCTCAAAGAGCAGTGTTTCCGACCTGCACAGCTGCGGGGAAGCATACTTCGTCAGCTCCTGGTCTTCGGCATCAATCGGGAACTGCACAACGAGAAATCATTTATAGACAGGGGCCCTTAACATTTACGGGGATGAAAATAGATGTTGTCCTATTCTCAGACCTACTGAATATGCATATAAAATTTCACAGTCTCTATTTAATCGCTCCCTATGGATGAAATAGGGAGATTGGGCCATGACCCACCACGCAGGCTAAGGCCTGAATGAATGACAACTAAGTGTTGATCTTTACTTGAGTACAGTTAGAAAGGGATGTCGCTATGTGCTATATATAGCGACATCCCTTTCTAACTATGCTTAAGACTAGATTAATTACTGAGAATCTTTCTATAATACGGGCTTAAGTGTGGATTGGCGGGTGCTAACAACTGCAGATACAGCCGGGACCAATGGCTTAATGTGCCTTCTGAAGCACGGAGGAGCTAGAAGATTTTTAGTCACCCATCCTTTGTTGCACACCCAACCCATCCCACAGCTCTAAATCTGATTATGTTTATCACATAGGTAAATCTGATGATCATCCATAATAAAGAGTTCATGGAATATGAAAATGATTTTAAACTCAATACAATCGTTTTATGAATCAATTTACTCATTTTTATTGATAAATCATTCTCAAAAAGCTATTTTTATAAAAACTGTTTTTTAACTTTGAATTCAAATCAAAATCAAATTGTTTATTTACAAGAAACATGGTAGAACACAATACAGATTTTTTATTTTATAAAATCTCCATTTGTACATACAATGTTTAGCCAATTGGGCATGAAAATGGCATTACAAGTTTTAAAAAAAAATTCAAATTCAAATCTAATTTATTCAATAAAAATAAATACCTAATTAAGTACATTCATATGTCCCAGTTTGAATTTTGTATTTTTAAGTTCAATAATTTTATCTGACATTCTGATTCTGACATATATTTTGGCATTAAAAATCCAGCCCTAAATAGGATTCGGCTTCACTGTACACAAAATTAAATTTCCCTCTGACAATTTGCAACAAATTTACAACAAATGGTTGCTAGTGTGACAGCAATCTAAAGCATCTGCGTTGTCTGAATTATCATCATTTATTGTCATAATTTTTTTACGTCACATCACAATCAATAAATAAATAAATCAGTGCATCTGTACCGTTAAAACTTGTTTTATTTAATGAGTGGTTTGCGTGAAAACCTAAGAAACCAATAACAATAAAGATATTTAGGCAACAAAGAATGAGCACTGCATTCGAAACTGTAGCAACAAGTACATTATAAAACAACATACCGGTGCACATCGATGAGAGTATTCGTACAATAAAGCGTGTGCCCTCAACATTTTCTGTTTGAATCGGACTGCCTTGCGGAGGAGCGCACAACACTCCCAGCACAGCCACTGCGGCAGGCCATCTGACTCCGACACCTTAAACATATGCCATATTATAAAATATATATGAGATACAATGAATAGTTGAGGCAGGAGCAAGGCTGGATACAGAGGTGCGGGCCTAGGGCAACGAAGGCAGCCCCTAATGAAAACATATTTTAATCTTTTTATTTTTATCTCTGTTGTGAAGGTGCCACTGCCTTAAATCCAGCTCTGATGTGGCATCACAACACTAACCTAACCTTGTGATTTTTATATTAAAATGAAGTGAAGTTTAGAATTCCCAATGGCTGTATGGTAATATTAACCACATCTCATAGACTATTAACAAATAAACTTGTCAAAATTCTGATATTTAAATATAAAGTGATTTTTTAATTTTTATTTCTAAAAAACAATGAAGTTGCCCTGTTCGAAACTATGCACAGAATGACTTCTAAATCCAATCTTTCAGTCGTAAATTACTGTCAGCTAACTTAACAAACCATTATCTATATTTTTACCAAATAGTGTCTCACAGACAGAGGGCTCCATGGCTGCAGCCAGCTCTATTGGTCGATTATGTTTGAACACTTGCTTATAATGCAAGCTAATACAACAGGCCGCCTGCTAGTCGCATCTGTCTGGGAGACACTTAAACCAAACAACGAAAACGACTCATGTTTAAAGCTATGTGTTTGCATAACTCTAATGTCAGATTGTTTAAAAGCAGTCGACGAGCGTATCTACCATATATAGTAGATATTTTTGAAGCGCTTCCGTGCAGTTACATGGTATTAGATTAGATTTCTTCAGTGATGGCTCCCTAAGGCAAATATCTGGTGTTTGTGTCCAAAATTTCTTGTCTAGATTTGTTCGATGCGGGCTTGTTTACTGTTTAAAACGGTATCTATGAGTGTATATAATCAATGCGTGTGAGTGATACTCGGTGTCATTAGCGGATATTTATTCACTATGCTGGTCGCTCAGGTGCTCACCATTATACCAGCCATATACTTGTGTGCCATTTGTCATCCACTTAATATAAAAAATCGATAGACTTACGTTTATTCCGGCTAAATCTTTAAAGAGTAAATCATATATAGCGGCCTTTATCATTCGCCTGCCTGTGGATAAACAACATCTACACATAGGTTTAACAATGTCGAATTGTAGTTTGAGATGGTTGTTTTCGTTTAAATCGTTGATTTGCATCATTTTCACGAATGAAGTTGTGTGTAAATTATTGTGTAAAATTTTTCGCGCACTCGAACAGAAATGACAAACAAATGATCTGTCAAGTCGACAATCATACAAAAATGGCGGTGGCATAATATGACATCTGATGTAATGCCGGCATTTCAAATGACTATTCGTGTTTGCTATTTAATTTTACAACAGCTTGTCCTTATCATACTCTGTAGGGAGTGAAAGGGAGAGACCGATGTTAAGTTGACTAATAGCAAATTATATACGTGTCATGTGTAGTGCCGGCATGAGGTGCGTTCAAACTACGCCGAGATTCTGAGCGCTGCGACTTCGGAAGACCCGCCACACGCGTTGCGCAGTTCTATGAAATAATAATGAAACCGCGGGTAACACCGTGGGGCACAGCTAGTTTAAAATAAGACTTCACGCCTTAAGTGAGGCTATATTTACCGAGACGAATTTTACGCACTGCCCCTTTCCAGTGTATTACTTTTCTCTATGACTGCCCCGTTAGAAATAGAATTGTTGATCGAAGTATTTAAGTAATTTTAGTACACAAAAAAAAAAAAAAGTTGTATACATAGGTATTTGTAGATAGCTGAGATAGCTTTCTATTCAAGGTGGTTATGCAAGAAAGTTTAGTGGGCCGCTTTTGCTTTATCACGTTAATCGCCAATAAATATCATTTGTTTCCCGTGGTCCACCTCGTAGTCCACCCAGGTGGACCATGGGGATTATTTTTATCCCGTGGTCTACCTGCATAGCCATATGTTTCTATCAGTAAATTATGACAGTAAAATAAGGATGTTCTTATGAACCAAAAAGCATTTAAAATTTTAAAAAATCGAGTAATTTTTAAAATCATTTAATTTGCGCAGTTTTTCTAAAGCGATACCTTCAGAAATATCGTTATTAATTAACTGCAAATATATACCTATGTTAATGCCTTGTTTTGTGATGCATGCGGTGGTGACCTTTAATTAAGATAGCATCCAATTATCGCCGATGCTTGTATCTTGTGTTGGTGTATATCTGATTGGTCGTCCTTAAATAAAAAAAAATAATTAAATCTGGCAGGGATTGTCCGATCACCCCGGCCAACGAATAAGGATAATTTAATGATGTTATAATGAAGCTGTACTTACTCAGTCGATCCTCTGTCGACTGGACATTTATATACTTTCTGATAATATTTTTGGTTATTGTACATGACACAAACAGTCAACATTGTTCAAATCTCATATCAAAGTGTCTGACATTTCTGTTTACCTCATACCATGTATAGAGACCGCTAAATCTCGAACGTTAAGAGTTCTCATACGTTTGGAAACCCTGCGCGGCGCGGCCGCCCGCCACAACACGAATAGTGGGATAGCATCTTTACTTACATTAAAATATATACCCATAGATAAATGATTGGTCTCGCTTCAATCATTCATCTATGTATATACCTTACATACAGTTAAAAATTGTCTTAATGTTAAGTTTTATTACGTCGTGGAAACTGATTTAGCTTATGTACAAATCAAATATTTTATACTCAAATGTATTATAATAAGACTGTATGTTTTCCTTAAATAAAAAAAAAATACAAAATTTTCAACGAGGCACACGCTATTGTGATTTTTTTAGAATGGAAAAATACCTAAAGCTCGTTTAGTGAAATAAATACTCATGGAATTCCGAATGTGAGTTGGATATAAAACAGAAAACCATACTTATACGCCCAGCCGTAACGACCAGATTTTAAAATAAGGGCCTTACACTCCGTTACCCTCCAGACCTCTAAATCCAACCTTGAGTCCCCTTATCACTTACATATTGGAAGTAAACCAACTTTCGCAAGGGTCGGTCATCGGATGGGTGACCAATAATATCTCGAGCTCCAAGCTTCCGAAGACATGTTAAGTCGTTGGTCCTAGTTACATCTGCAGTCATTAGCACCCACCAATCGACAATGGCCAATGACCAATGGTCGACATGGCCCTATCTCCGTATCCCATCCACAGGGAAAGCCTGTCTGCGTCCCAGCAATGGGGACATTCATTGCGGAGTTCTGATGTGCTGCCCTTGCCAGCTAAAAGACTTCTCAGGATTGTTATTCCAATAATGTCATTATTATTAAAAAATAACTCGGGCCACCAAAACTGAAATTTATCCACCTGACCTTGTAAACGCACCATCAAAAAGAATTTTGTGTACCAATTATATTATAAAAGTAACTAGCAAACCAGTGAACCAAATGTTCACCAAAACCTGATTTAAAAAAAAATATGTATTTCACTAATTGAGAACTTCGGAGATTTTGTGTGGTTTCGTTACTCAAATCCGGTTTGTAGTCTTATGAGACTATTCTTAACTTAAAACTTAAACATTCTCTTTATCTCTCTTACGGTTTGGCCGCTGAAACAGCACCACAGACAGACGGACGGACGGACGGACTTGTCTAATAGATAAGAGATAATTAGTTAGTAAATATAAAAATAAACAACAATTACAATGAAATATTTATTCAATTATATTTTTTCTCGAATTAATTAAAATAACATATTAATTTGTTATTTGGATTGTATTATTGTGTATAATTCAAGAAAAAATCTTAAATAACATAAATACCTCCTTGTGAACAATTCTTGGTTATGTCAAGTTTCAATAAAAAAAATGACGATGGTTGAATACTGGTTTATTATTGAAATTATAATTTAAAAAAATTACGTGGTCTTTACTTTCGAGTAATCTCAAGAATTTTAGCTAGTTATACTAAAAAAAAAATTTTTTTTATTAATACTCTCACTAATACATGTTTCAATCCAATTCTAGTATGATTCGAAAATGTAATAGGTACTTTGATGTAACTGCACATCGACAAAAATATATATTAGATAAATACCATTAATTTTCATTTTTTTTTTTGTGCTTGTATCAACTCAGTTAAAGCCGCTTCTTCTATATTGTAACTATTCTTAAAGGAATTTACAAAATGATTTTTCTTAAGACCCGTACCTTGCGACAACAGCTTTAAATGATTATTTTATTTTTGGTATTATCTATGGATTTTTCAAAATCATTGTCAATTATGGATTCTTAAATATATCTCTCATCTCAATATCGTATTCTTCTTTATAATCAAAAGAGTTTTCATTACTTATTATCGACATGTTCCTGAATGGGATCATCGTCGACCACGTTTTCTGTTTTAATTTTTAATTATTCTTCCTTTTGCTATGTTCCATCTCGCACATTAAAATTTACAGGTACCTCTTCAATTGTAATATAATCTTCCTCTTTTATTGTTATATCTTCTTCCGAGTATACATGTCCTTCCTCTTCGAATGGTATCTGTTCTTCCTCTTCTAATTTTACAGGTCTATCTACTTCAATTATTATGCGTTCTTCCTCTTCCACGTCAAAACGTTTTCCATCCTTATATTGTATATGTCCTTGCTCTTCCAATTGTATATGTCCTCCCTCTTCCAATCGCATCTGTCCTTCCTCTTCCAATTGCATAAGATCTTCCTGTTCTAATTTTACATACACTTCCTCCTTAATTAAAATATCTTCTCCCTCTTTCAAGTTTATATGTCTTTCCTCTCCCAGTGGTATGGATGGTATATGTTCACCCTTTTCCAATTTTACATCTTCTCTCTCATCCAAGTTCTGTTTATCCTCTTTCATTTTTATTTCTTCCTCCTCTTCATATCCCATATGTTTTCTCTTTCTTGATGCCTTATCTTCATAATCTACCAATATGGTATCAGTTCCGATATACGTGGGTTTGGATATCGCCAAGTTCAAGTTTAGTTTGTGGTATGTCCTGTCTATCGATTTCACGGTGTGCGCGTTCAACTGAAACATATTATAATGGATAAATATATAATAATAGAGAAGATTTGGCTAACTTTTTTTTTCTTCTTCTGTCAGGTAGATTATCAAAAGGTACTGGACACGTATTTTTTATATTTTTTCACATAATTAAAACATTACATGAGATATATATTGATTTGAAATTTCGCATGAAGTCACATCTTGGTACAATTTTTACTTAGAAGTGACGTCACGAGCCTCTAGTCCTAAAGGACATCGACGAAATCTGCTAAGGAAGCTCCCAAATGGAATATTTTCCCCCGTTTTCGCAACATTCTTCATTGATTCTCCACTCTAATTAGTCGTAACGTGATTGAAGTGAAACTTCTTTATCGGCGTTGGAAAAAAATTTACCGTCACATTTTTTCGGACGTTACGCGTCACGTTTTTTGGTTACGCGCCATCTTTTTTTTAAAAGAGCACTATTTACCTCATCCGAACAATTGCTTCTTCTGTCAACTTAAAAAAAAAGTATCGACAGCAAATATTCGTGTTCCACACAAGGTAAGGTAAGGTAAGGTAAGGTAAGGTAAGGTAAGGTAAGGTAAGGTAAGGTAAGGTAAGGTAAGGTAAGGTAAGGTAAGGTAAGGTAAGGTAAGGTAAGGTAAGGTAAGGTAAGGTAAGGTAAGGTAAGGTGTAGTTATACCCCTTTAGTGGGTGAGTTTTTGAAAAATCTTAGCGCACGCCTATATATATATTTCTGGAAAGTTGCATGTAGATCATTTTTCGAAAAAAATAAGGCCATAAAGAAGTTTCACTTCTTACCTGTGTACACTAGTACACGCACACATTTTTTATTTTTTACATCCTACAGACTTCCTCGATAAATGCTCTATCCAACACAAAGATTTTTTCAAATAGTACCAGTAGTTCCTGAGGTCTTTGAGCGTACAAACAAACCAGCTCTTTATCTTTATAATATTAGTATAGACTTGGTAAAGGCGGTGTCCCACGACCTGTGTTGTGACGGGCGAGGCCACGCCGCGCGGGGTTGCCGAACGTACGAGAACTGTAACGTTCGAGATTTAGCAGTCTCTATACATGACACGAGGTAATTAGAATTCTCGTACACTTTGATATGAGATTTGCATAATGTTGACTGTTTTTGTCATGTACAAAATGCTAAAAATATTATCAGAAAGTAAATAATGGCTGGTTTACATTATCTTAGTGTTTAATAGAGTGGTTTAGTAGAGATAAGCAGGCGTGCTTTAGTAGAGTTGGTACCATTCCAGTGGCCGTTAACACTTGTTCCGCTACAGGATGAACGAGCAACAACGTGGCAATACACACACACACACACACACACACACACACACACGCACACACGCACGC